AACATTGGAATAGAATTAGAAACCACACTGATTTGTCACAAATTAGTTTCCTGAAGATACTTCCGTTTGTTTTTGATACAACGTATTTTAGATTTAACAATGAATTTTACAAACAAAAATTAGGCACACCGATGGGTGCCATCATTTCTCCAATATTAGCTAAATACGTTATGGATGACCTACTTGAGGTGTGCGTAGATAAGCTGTCGTTTCAGTTACCATTTCTGAAAAAATATGTGGATGATATAATTACTTCCATACCTGAAAGTTGCGTGAGGGAAACTCTCACAGTGTTTAACAGCTATGATGCACACATACAATTTACAGTAGAGGAGGAAATGGATAAAAGCGTACCATTTCTGGACACTAAAGTGATCCGGAACAACGATGACAAAATTATATTAGATTGGTACATAAAACCGACCAGTTCGGGGAGATATATGAATTTCCACTCTTACCATACAACGAAAACAAAAATAAATTTGGTCATAGCATTAAAGACACGAATCGAGAGGATTTCTCACCCATCACTAAGACAAAAAAATCTCAATAAGCTTTACGACATGCTGATTAACAACTCATACCCAAGTAGGTTAACTAAAAAATTGTTATATAGCACGACCCCACTAAGAGCTCCAAACCCGCGGAACACTGTCGTCCACTCAGATAGCCCAGAAATGGACGATCAGAGATGTTTTTATTTTTCATTGCCATACATTAAAGAATTAACGACCACACTCACAAAAATTCTGAGAGCACAAACAAATATTAAGATAGCATATAAACAAACAAAAACATTGGGGAGTGTCTTTAGCAAACTAAAAGATAAGGATGAGGTACAAAAGAATTCAGAAGTAATTTATAGCATCCCCTGTAATCAGTGTGATCAGGTATACATAGGACAGACATCGCGAGTACTTAAAGATAGAATTACGTCACACAAGAGTGATTGCAGACTCAATAAGAACACCTGTTCATTAGCAACACACTCTAACCAAATGGATCACGATGTTAACTTTGTTGAAACAAAAATTCTCCATAAAGAAAGCAACTACAACAAAAGAGCAACTTTGGAAATGGTGGAGATATACTTGGAACCGAAATCTGTCAATAAAAGATCTGACATTGATGGCCTCAGTGTGATCTACTCTAATGTCTTAACTTTACAACCAACCGTCAATCGAATTGCGTTTGCTGATAATAGTGTCGTCACAATGTAATTATAATTTAGAAAAATAGTCCCAAGCCTCTATACATTAGGTGCCTTGTAAGCAAAAAGGAGGTAACAAAAGGGGAAAAAAAAAAAGGGGAAAAAACTGGACGGCTGGCGGTAGTCATACTAATAAAACCTTTCCATCATTTGCGTTTTGCGTTTGAAGTAAAATTCGTTTAAATAAATTGTAACAATAATTTCGTCTAGATGGCTGCCCTCGGTTATAATAATTAACGGTCGTATTTGATTCTTTCTAATAATAATAATAATAATGGCACTGTAGCAGTAAGTACTTTAACTAGAAGACTTTAGTATTAAATAACTAAGAGCCGCTTTCATATTGTAGCCCCTGAAGAAGAAAATAAACATTTTCGAAAACTTGGTGTAGCACAAAAGCCTTTTATTTGAGCCCTCATCAGGACCGATACCCCAATTAACTAATATATATATATATATATATATATATATATATATATATATATATATATATATATATATATATATATATATATATATATATATATATATATATATATATATATATAGCATTATTCGTGGTTCTGTTACCAGTTTTTTGGTGTGTGGTTTGTTTGTGGAAAATGATGCAAGAACAACATCTGACTATGAAATCCATTTATATCGTATTAAAGTGGAAAGTGGACGCTGGAGTTTTGTAGGAGATGGAGCATTATTAAATGCAAAACATACCGTCCGTATCCATAAATTGTGTTGCTTCATTTTTAAAGCTGGTTTGTTTGTAAGTCGAAAATATGTTGCTAAAGTAGTTTTAGAGAATAAAGTTTTTGCATTAAATCAAAATAATTTTTATTCCATCCATCAACATCGAAATTTGTTTTGTGTTTAGACTTGAAAACGATAAGCTTTTCCTTTGGTATTTAATATTGCCATAAAGACACCAAACGAACTATTTTTTAAAGCAATATCAATATAAACCATGTAACGCAAACAGAAAAACAATTACAAAGTTTACCTCCGATAAAGCTTATTATGTTTTCTGCCAGAGTTCTCATTAAATTGGCAAAATCGCAAATTCGTAGTATATCAGCTGTCTAAATATTCCGTAAGTTTGGATGGGTCAGTTCTAAGATCGAAGTCACGTCGCAATTGTTTTGAAATCGTAACAGAGATTCTACTTGAAAATAGATATCGACATCTTGGCGATGCGTGTGAAGAATTTTTTTGTTCAAAACAGTCCAAAATCGGCCACACCGATGTGGTAATACCGAAATCATTCGAACCTAAATTTCATTCATTAGGGTTTCGTGTGTGTCGCCTGTTGAATTCTCTTGCGTTCATCGAATTCCAATAGACAACTAGACCTATAAAATTAATTTCAATAAATTCATTAATAAGCGATTCTGGATATACCTGACAGAGAGAAATCTATTGCCTTCGGCCCTAGGTTGCAACTAGGAAGGACTGAAAAGGATTTCAAATTATATATAACTTATAATTCAACTTATCTGTCAGAGCAAATAGATATAAAAAAGTTTTTTTAATAAATGAGGTGTTAAAGTTGTTAAAAAGATACAGAGGGGTAAAAATGAAATTTAATTTTCATAAACGTAAAAAATTTTAAGGCGGAAAAATATCGTTATCTTCTTCTTCACTTCCGGTTTTTGGCACTTTGCCGGTTCTCAGTCTTCTTCCATAATATTGATAAAATCTGACACTTATACTCCAGCCAAAGCAGTGGTGCAGTTATGTCACGTATAGAGACGTAATCAGAAATTATCCGTATGTCTCAGCTATGTTGCTACCAAAACAATTTCGAAACTGACAAACTCCTATGTCCAGTAATGAACTAGATAAAGATGTCATACTATGTCATACTATTACTATTATTTTTTCGTCTATATTAAAGGTGTTTATTTCCGTTCCTATATCTGTTTTTTAGCGTGTGTTCTATTCACTATTCTTAGAAATTTCATTTCTTTTGCTTGCATTATACTTTTTTACTATGTATTGTACTCTTTTTTCCCCTTCCATTTATGTATAAATGGAAGGGGACAAATCGGGCTATTACTGTGGCTGTACCAAAACAGCTGAGATTCCATTTTTGCGCAATTGTTTCATTCGCCTTGAAATTTTTTCTGTAAAGCGTAATCTTGATCACTAAAATTTTCCCAAATAAATAATTTATTTACATATTATAAAACCCCTTTTAAGAGAATCTGTCTGTCCTGTCAATTCGCTTGGTATCTCTTTAATGAATAACATAAAATATAATAAATAATATAAAATATATTATATATTATATAAAATATAATAATAATAAATAATGTAAATAATTTAAATGTAAATAATGTAACTACCTAAACTTCGAGCATTTCAGGCACTTTATTCACGGGTGTGGAAGCGATCGGATATTTTCAATAGTTTTTAAATAATGTTGATATTTCGATATTTATAAATTCTACTTGGATACACATGTTTAGTCTTATTTTCCATATCTTCAGGTGTTGTAGGTTGATTTACATAAGCATGATCTTTAACATATCCCTACGAAAAGAAATATAGTATATATTAATATATACTAGCTTCATAGCTTCAACGAAAAATATTATTTTAGACAATAAAATTGGATCGGCCTCTATTGCTTTATTAACGATGTACAAGTTTACCATTTGTTCAAAATCACTATCCAGTTATGGGTGTAGGTCCATATAGAAGGGATGATTTTGTGTATTCCAGTGGTGCGATTAACGGTAGATTGAGATGTTTTATATAAGCTAACTACCTGAAGGCTGAAGTCAAATTTCCAATTCTTTTTCTTGATTGGCAGCATTCTGGTTTATCACTGTCCGTGTCTTATATTCAGTACTGGCACTAGCACCAAGCCGTTCTATTAAACACTGAAGAAATTGTCTAGTAAAGTATTACTACCCACAAGGTTTTTTTTTTCGCCTTATCCAGTATATAAATATATAATATAAAATTGGTTCAGCCTTAGGTAAATCCATACTTAGTTTTTTTTTATTTACTGACATAACAATAAATTTTATGAATTTATTAATTAAGTTTCCTGTTAAAAATTTGAAAATATCATTTTTTCATGGTCAACTAGTATTATAGCAAAAGTCTTAGACAGAAAGAAGGGTAAATGTTGAAAATCTTAAAATAAATTAAAGTATTAAAAATAGGTATAGGACATATTTAATAAAAGTTGTAAGATTTTTCAGAAAAAATATATATCGTTTATTTTAAACAACCTGTAACATCTAATCCAAATTCGGTCATCATTTTCGAATAACCTTAATTAACAGTGAGTGATTGAAATATTGGAAAAACTACGAGGTTCAGGTGTGTATTAATAAAATGACGGAAAAGAATTGTAGAAGGAATTCAAAAGAAAATTTAAAAATAGGGAGTTTAAAGAAACGTATGTTTTATTCGTCATTTTTTTAGCCACGTATACTTTAAAATAACTTTTGTATTTACCATTTTCTCAAAACCTTTGAAACCAAAGAGATAATGACCTTTTCAGCCGAAAATCCGATTGTACGAAGCATAGATGCTATCTGGAAACAGTTACCATTTCACCACGCTCTCGTTGCTCAATATGCTGAAGAACTCGGAACAATTATGAAAGAGAGTGGAAAAACACGGAGGACTGGCACTTGGCAAAATTTGTGTCAAAAAAATGTTTAATAGAAAATTATGTTTGGCATGCCTTGAGCATGCCTGGTCGACATTTTTAATTGTTTCTCGGCGATTAAATCAATAAAATAGCCAATATAAAAGTAAAGTATATATTTTATCGTGATTACAAAGAACATATAGAGCAGTATTATTCATCGACGAAGAAGTAATTACTTTTATCTGTATACCGCGTGATGTTTTGCTGAATCAGATATTCCAACTGCACTCAAGGACGCATAGCACTCGATAGTGCTTATTAAAATTCAAATAGTTACCAATTTTGATTTTAAACAGGAACGTCCCGTATAATTTTGGAATAAATATTATAGATGGGGGTTTCGTTGCGTGTTCAGATTTAAAATTTAAATAAATCGATTTTTAAAAATAACCTTTTTATAAAACAAAACAAATCGCCTCTCCTCATATATACCTTTCACAAAACAAAACTCAAAAATTTTGATTTTTGAGACATCCGAGTTTAATTGAATCCTTATTTATAATTTATATTTTTATAGAACGGTATGCAGATAAATGTAGATACCCAAATAAAGAGTATACAGTACGAATTTTTAATTTATGCAAAAAAAAGAAAATACACAAAATTTACGAAGAAAAAACATTTCAGTAATTTTAAACAAACTCTCATGAAAATTAACTTAGCACTTAAATTTGGGATAACTTCAGAGTTAATTTCGTCGCTGAATGTATTTGGATATACCTATACCTCTACCTATATACTAAGTTTTAGGCATGAACAGAGGGTTTAAAGAAAACCCAGTTTTAGGCTCTAATCCTCTCAGCATTTGTTATGTTTAGAACTTTAACATAGCAAATAAAACAATATGCTAAATTAACCTGCAGGTCTTCCAAAAACAACAAGAGTATAGAAGTTGTCATTGGGAGGACAGTGGACTTAACTGGCATTCCAATTTCAACCATGCGCCGATTCCAGAAAAGAAGGAACAAGATTGCTTTCGAAAAATCTTCACTGGGCAGGGCAAGTTCGTATCACGTAGCGCGAAGCAGCTTTTTATTATAAAAGGAAAGCGGTTTCGTGTGGTTTCTTCTTCTTCTTCTTCTTCTTTCTATCGTGCTCCTGCGGACCACTATGGAATTTTCGCAAAATTGATGTAATTTAATTGTGCATGCACTCTGTATAAAATGTCCTTCACATATCGTCGAATTTCAAAGTTACAGCAAACATCGGTAAATACTAAAATTTGCACAAATAATAGCGTCGTCGAATGATATATTTTCAAATATCTCGCACCCTGTATAATTGCCGAAACCTGAAACTCTCTTACGACATGATTTGCGATACTGTTCAAATAAAATTATCCCATCTTTAACTGTTTTTCATTTATCGCCAATAATTTACCCACAAAAACGGAAATTTTAGATTTTTTGCCCATAAACGACACACCCTGTATATGATACAATCATTATTCGAAGTAGAGGCCCTGGATTTTCCACGTTTCCTGGTTTAAGAATTTTTTGAAAATAGTAAATGGTTTTCGAGAAAATAAGTTTTTTCTGAAACCATGCAGTGCGCTGTAATAATCAATGACGTCATCGCGTCTTGAAATCCCTCGAAATAACGGATTTTTTCAAATATCCCGAGCAGCGTATGTGATAGACGAAAACCGAAAATACAAAAATCGTACCTCTTGATGCGGCCTATGATACCGTTTGAACCAATTAACCATATTTTTTACGATTTTTGATTTGCGGCTAATAAAGAACAATTTTCTAGGTCTTTTGGATTTTTGCCTATAATTTGAAAACCCTGTATATAATCGAAAAAATGCCTGAAATAAATGTTATTGCACTGGATCTTCTGCATCTGCCGGGTAAAAAAAATTGCCAATCGGATGAACGATTATTGAGGAAACACATATTTTTCTGGAAGATAAAATTACCAAAAAAAAAATTCAAACATTTTTAAAAAATACTTGGTAAAATTTGATTGCGCCCAATTTCTACCGTTTAAATGTGGACATGGACTTTTACTTCTCTGCTAAATTTGAAGTTGATATCTGCAAAAAGATTTAACTCATTTCTCACTTACCACGGAATATCGGGAACACCCTGTACAATAGGTGAAAACCCTAAATACAAAAGATTTTGCTGTCTATGCGGGCTATATCGCAATATAAAAGAAAGTAAGATCCGAATCATAGTATTCCAGTTATAACCAATTTTCAATAATAGTGGGATCCACTTTTCAGCTTTTTTGAATTTTCGACGCACCCTGTATATTTTTTAATGTGCAACATTTTGCAAAATTTGCAAAATTTCAATTTTGTAGCTCTTACGGTTCGAAAGTTATTCGGGAAAAACCAAAAGACGAGAACGGAGAACGGAGAACAGACAAACATAAAAAAAATATTTTTTCGACGGTGATCATTTTTGCACCAACGGCGATCCCATAGGACCTACCGTTAACGAGATATAAAATTTTTATACGAGGGCAGATACTTTCAAAAAATTCGATTTTATCGAGTTTCGAAAGTAACAAGGTGATAAAGTGTTTTGAAAGTATATGCAATGTGTGAGAGTAATCTGATTCTGCCTCTTGAATCATTTCAACCGAAATTAAAAGAAAATGGTCGATTTTGAAAAATATTGACAAAAGTAGTTGCATTACAGTTAAAAAAAATTACATTAGATTGTTGTAAAAATTTGCTTAGTTCCATAAGCGGCGATGTTCTACTGATCTAGAAACAATTTTCTGAAGCGAGTCTTTTCATTGGAAGTTTAAATGCATTTTGCTTATTAAAAGATAATAAAGCAAGATTTTTTTAATTTACGAAGAACCATTGAATGCTTTAAAATAGCTTCAAATATCAAAAACATTGGTAAATGATTTTCTCGGTCCTTCAAGAATGTTGGACGTCTTGGTACCTACTAGATGGAGCACCGGTTCACCGCACGGAAGAGGTGTCATGAGAATTATACGAATTATTTAATTTAATTGACGTTTGGGGCAGTGAGATGGGGTGCGTTAAAGTCACGCGTCAAAGAAGAGTTACGTCATTGGATTGTACGATTCTCTGAACATCAGTCCACTTTGACGGATTTTATAGTGTTAAATACCTAATATAGAAGTTTCATTCATTTTCCTGTGTGTAATTTTTATTTTAAGTACCTAATATTTTGCAAGTGTTTTTAAAATGTTTTTCGTGAAATAGTTCGCAAAGCTTTTTTTAATTCTGGCAAATTTTCTCTTGTGCATGTGTTTGTAAATCAGAATTCGTTAAACGCAACTAAAAATTTTAATGAGAAACATGATAACATTTTGGTTAGTAGTAAAAACATAACCATGAAATTTCAAAAAAAAATGTCAATTGTTTGCAGATAAACATAAAAATCTGAACAAACACACAAATTTATGGCGTAGTTAGTCAAAATACCGCAGAAAAACAGATATAAATGGATAGGCACAATTAGAGATACTTGATATTGTGTATCTATTGCGTTTGCCATAATTTTACTGCAGAAATCGATCGCATTGTACCTTCAAAATAATACCAAGTAAAACTTTCTTCCAGGGTTTTCTCTGGTGTATTTTTTCCTCTATACCTAAAGCTTGAATTACGCTTATTTTTTTGAAAATGAAAATTCGTAAACATTACAATTCATGAAAAGTGGAAACAATTAAAAAAAACAAAATATTTTTTTTCAAAAGGACGAAACCATTTAGAGAAAAACTGACTACGCCACTGAATTCTACGTAAAAATCTATATCTCTTTCCAACATTCCATAGGATATTCGAGGAGTGCCCCAAAACTTGAAATTTCCAAAATCACCCTTTATTTTAAAAACGAAATCATGAAATTTTGTTATTTCGTCATCTTTCGTTTCTCAAAAATGTACCAAAGGCTCTTACACTCATTAACAAGAGTCATACCTCTCAGACGCGATCAAAATGGGACACAGTTTATTTCAAACGAGTAGGACTATTGCTCTAGTGTTCAAATACATAACAGCACCGAGTTGTGAAGAAAGCCTACCATTTTTTATCCAAATTTGTAAAAATCACAATAAACCATATCAAGGAAGCTCATGAAATAAAAATACCAAGCACAAGGAAGGTTATGTTGGTTTCATCATTTAAGTTTAGCCAAGTTGAACGTAACATCGCAGTCAGAAAATTACACCAGGACCAACGGAAAGATGGGTACAAATATTTTTTCCAGACGTAGACACTAAAACCGAAAATCTATTTTGTTACGTATCAATATTTTATACTTGAACGTTCACAAGTAACTTACATAAAAGGAACCCAAATCGTAATCAAATGAAACGTCGGCAGAGGTAAAAGTGTCCTCAGTCAGAAAAATTCTGCTTGGGATATTAGTCCATATATTTGCTAATAATTTTTTCTACGTCACCGAAAGAGGCAAGTCTTGATGATCTCTGTGCTACCTACCCATGGGCCCCAGACATGTTCCACTGGGTTGAAGTCTAGACTGAGTGGAGGCCAGTCCAAGATATGAACATTCACTTCATGTAAGTAATTTTGCACTATTATTGCATGTGGCCTGGCGTTATACGTATAAATAGTTTTTCTTTCATATCACTCCATATCCCCCAACTTAATTTAAATAAAATTGTTGAAAATTAACTCTGAAGTTGACCCACATTTTATTCGTTCGTTAATTATGATACGAAGTTTAGTATTGTTTAACTTGCCTCTTCCAGACGCACAATGATGGCAGAATAACCCACTCTCTGAATACAAAGAACGCGCGTAAAAAGCAAAAATGGCTTCGTTTCTGCAAAGCCAAAGAACTGCGCTGATTTGGATCGTCCAAAAGGCTATCTGCGTGCATTCTTAAGGCATCGCTTCAGCATATCGTTACATCTTAGGTCGCATAAGGGACTAGTACCACCGTATCAAATGTAATCGTATCCTAAGTCGTCGTCGAAATCGTCGGGAGTGCAAAAGAAGAATTCGATCAAGTTAATGATCGGTCCTCTGGAGAAGGGATTGAAATATCTTCCCCTCTTATCCCTCAAGTAAGGATACCTTTTGTAATTCACCATTTCGTTGGTGGTCAGGTTCATGCAGGCATGAAGCACCTAAAAAAATTATACGGCGACGTAAGAAATTGAAATTTAAATACAAAATATTTTGAGTCAGTGACCTTCGATGTTGAGTTCATCGACTCTAATCTTCGGTGTATTGCATTAATTAAATCAAAGCATAATTAACGTCGGCCATCGAAAACAGAAGGCCACTTTCTAAAACACGGTCCGTGAAAATCTATTAAAGGTTTATCCGAACTGGTCAGGCCTAATATCCCGAGAGTTTAATTGCAAAGGGGAATTTATGTAACAGCGGTGATTAGTATGATAATGCACGTGAAATTCGGAATGAAACGCAAATAAATCTCAGACTACGTCGATTTCCAAAGACGCATTAATTGGACAGAAGTGTTTGCTTATTACAGAAAATTATAGAAAATATAACTTAAATATGAGTAAAATTCCCAGTTATAAAAAAATTGCATTGCGTTTTACTCATTTTTCTGGGTGAGAGAATTTAGTTTTTGCTCACATTGTCATCAAGTCATTTTTTTTTCTGATGTCGGCGAGAAGAGCATTTCTATCAACGCATATCTCGTCATTAAACACAAAAATCTACAATTATAGTTTTTTATCTGGTATGGAAGGTTTAGTTGTATCTCTTCGACTTTAAAATTATCAAATGTTTGTTAATTTCATGTCATTTATAAAATACTTAAACTAACCAAAAATGCGCTTTCAAAAAGTGAGAAAATTATTTTTCTCAATTTCAGCAAAGAGAAGAATAAATGAGGATGAAAAGGTTACCATCAGAGGAATAATACGCTAGTTTTACTTAAAAAAGGAAATAAAGTCCATTCAGAGCAATTACGTCATATAATGACATCTTTAAGTAGTTAAGGATGTCATAAACTGACACAGGAATTTTGTTTGTTAGTTTTGAAATCGTTATTTACGTTATGATAGCAATATAGCTAAGATATACATACATTTTTGATTATGTCACTATACGTGACGTAACTGCACAACTGCTTTGACTGGAATATTGAACAAAATAGTGTCTGAAATGAAAAAGGATGATTTCATTCCACCCACGGGTAAAAAGAAATTGTGGAAAACTATGAAAGACTTTCCATACTAAACGAACTCAGCAAAGAAAATCACTTTTGGTAGAGAAAGGCAAAAATATTTGCCGCCACGATGATATTTGGGGGCAGTTAGACGGAAATATCTATTATCTGTACAAAACTTGGTTGGTGTAACATAACAGCAAAAAAATTTAAAAAGCGCAAAGCACCCTTTCATGTTCCACTCAGAATATGATGATTGAAATTTACAAATGAAGTTGTATTACAGTAGATTTTTTTTTAATTTTCAATACACTTTTTCATTGACTATATATTCGAATAATTAATAAATCAATTATCTGCCCATCTCTATAATAATTATAATCGTGTATAATTATTATTGTATTTATTGATCTAATAAACTAACGCTGCTGTTAAATTACTTTCAATCATCGAAACTCTTATTTCTATTGAATGAAAATTCGTGTGTACACCCTAATTCAGCAACGATTCGAAGAGTGTACGTCATTGGAAGTTTAAATTTTATTACTCCCTTCCATTAAAAAACTAGAGATAGCAGAGCTTCTTTGCTGATATGTGTTTGCGGAACATTAATTATTACATTCGTTTTCAAACAATGCTTTTTTTAGTAAATTTCGGAAAAAATAGGGACCTGAAAAAAACGTACGCAAAAGCAAAAGTTCAAAAAAATTCTGTGAAAACCGTGTGTCAATTTTATTTCTCCTTAAAAACTATTAAAATATGATTCGAAAATACCGTGCATAGTAAATAATAAGCCTTCTTCGTTAAGTACATTTTAACTGTTGAATAGAACATTCTAACGAACAATAACACCATAAGAAATCAACAAAGGATCATTTTTGAATGGATATCATTGACTAAAAATATATTTTTGCAAAACAGCTACAAAAGAGATCAAAGGTCTTCCGACTTTTTCTCAATGGACAACCGGAAATATGCATATTTAATTAGAATAGTGTGTGTGTAAAAAGTACCTACGTAAATGGATATTAATAGTTTGAATAATGTAGGATACTTATTGCTGAGCATGTAAAGAGTCTTCTATAAATTAGGACCCAAATTAAGGGGTGGGGACATTGTTTATAATTATTTTTTTTTCTTTTCATTTTTTTCTAAAAGTTGTTTTTTTATATATTGTTACATATACACGACTTTTTTATTTCCGTGAAAAAGTAACAACTTTCTTATTTAAAAAAAACACCCTGTAAATCACCTTTTTTATTTCCTCGGCACTTTCGAGTCATATATTATCCTATAACTAAGTCTTAACGTTTCTGACATAATTTGAATTTTATGTCAATAGTGATGTTTATCTATTGATATCTCCAACTGAAAACCTTTGTGATATATTTGGGGTTGAATTCCTTAAACGTTCCTTAGCGTCCTCTGTCGATATTCTAAAAATAAATAAAACCTTTTTTCATTGTAAAAGCATAAAAACGAATAATTTTTATTTATTTATTTTATTTTATATATAAATCTTTATTCTACTCCGAATTGTAAAAATACTCTTAAAAAGTAAAAAAAGGGTTAAACATTAATCTAAAAATTTACTATTTTTTAGAATTCACAAAAAGGTCTCCTGATTTTTCATTGTCAATATTTTGCAAACAATGGAGAATTAAAATAGTAGCTAATAGAAACCAATGACTGAACAAAAACATTGACAATGCTTATTTACACTTTTTCTATGTGCTCTAATGTATTTAGCTTATTTTGCGTTCCAAAATACTATACTTGAACTGACGAGTATTTTAAACATAGTAATAAGAGATTTAAAGCATTTAAAACCTTGTGTAATTCTTAATCTAAGTTCTTTTTGTAGAAATTTTTTTTTTTTCATTTTTGCAATTTTCGTAGTTTAAAAAAAAACATTGGTTTCCAAATTCACAAGCCAAAATAGAAATGAAATGTAGCTGAAATTTCCGAATAAAGGCTGATCTGCATTACGATCATAATTTAAAGCACCTATTCTATATTTAATTCTAATTATTTTAACTACGTAAAACATCAAGGATATTAGTGTGACCTTCCTAAATATTAGGTCTCTCTAGATTTTTTGGCCACTCCTATTAGATCATAAAATAGGAGTTGTTGAGACATGGCTGTCACCCAATATTTCATGTCAGAACATTCAAATAAAAGTTATAATTATTGTATTAGATGTAATAGGGGCATTGGCACGTATTCTGGGAGTACTTTTAAATAAAATATAGTGTGTTCTAACTCTGCAGAAGCTCTAAAGAAGATACGCGTGAAAATCAATTATTTAACACTGCTTATATTCTTCGTTCACCAGATAGAAAGGAAAAGAAATCTTTTAAATTTCAATAATATTAATTAATCAATATAATGAAATATTTTCTGGGACTATTCAAGTCTTGAATTCCCCGCAGGCAATAAATGAACCGACAAGAATTACTCAAACATGTTCAACACTACTTATGACTTCTAAAATTAAAAAAATAATAATATGGGTTAAAGAATACAGACCATATATCTGATCATTCACTGCTTCATTGTATTTTAGTCAAACAAACTGAAATTTCTGAAAATATAATTAAAATTAGTAATTTTAACGATATTGATAGAGAATTTTTAAACAATATTTTACTGAATTTATAGTTAGAAGACGGAATTAACTCAAAAATTCCATATTGAAACGAAAAATTGTTTCATATTTTTGACACATTGGCTCCCGCACCCGAAGTAACATTAAGAATGCCAAAACTTTTTTGACTAACTTCCAAAATTTAAGCAAACTGAAAAGTAAAGCCCGACATAAATGAAAAAAGAGCAAAACTGATGTAAACTGGAAAAGCTATAAACAGATAAAAAACCTATAAATGATTAATCTGGACTACTGTATACATAATAATTTCAACAATTTTAAGGTTCCCTGGGAAAAACTTAAAGAACTAAAAAGAGGGAAATGTTTTGCCTGAAAGACTAATATTCCGAATAATATTAACAGATATGTTTTGCAGTTTTCCGTATAGTATATTTAAAGAGTAATTTTATTTCATTGTTTAGTGTTTAGTCAATTGCTGAGTCAAATACCGGGGCCGATCAAATAAATCTGGATATGGGGATGGGGAATGGATGGGGAATTTCTTGATTTTTGGAAAATATCTAAAAAAGAGCCTGATCATTATAGACATGTTAGCATATTACCAGTCCTTTCAAAAGTTGCATAAAAGATTATGAATTGTCAAATTAGGGAACACTTAAAAAGCTTTCATATCCTTCCAGAGCATCAGTTTGGTTTTAGTGCAGGTTACAGTTGTACAATTACGTTGTACAATGATAAGACAACTTGCGCTGTTGGATTATTCTAAACCTCTTAACAAGTTAAATCATGAGTTACTTTTCGCGATTTTGTACTTTGTTGGTTTCCGAGCACTGTTAGACTTATTAAAAGTTATTTTGAGAAATAGATTTCAATTTGTACGAACTAGTACAAAACTAGAATTTTATTACTTTGAAAAAAACTAAAAACTGCTTTATGTGACTCGTTAATACTGAGCCATGTTTGTGCCGTAGTTTACGGACCATGTTTGAATAAAATAAATAGACAGAATTCAGAGGGTACAACAGCATCACATAGGTTACTTGAAATTAAATATTTATCTGATTGTTTTGCAAGCAGTATCAAGAATGATAGAAACCAAGAATATTCTTTATTGGGCACTAAGAGTCACATTATTGGGCTAGTAGAAGAGGGGAGATTAAGCAGACTGGGATAATAGGATATCAGAGGACGACCAACTGGCTCATGAAGGAAAAAAGAAATTATAAGACAAATTAATATCATCCCACACCCAAAATTTTTGGAGTAAATGTAAGCAATTATATGCCAATTGGCCATTCGAGAAAGGCAAGTGGTATTCAGAAATTGAACCAGAGCGGCAAAACATTTCTTGATTTTTTAAGGCTCAGTATGAGAATGGAGCTAAAATTACATATTTGATAGGAATGACGACTAGTCGTTGTTCTATACCTCCATATTTAAATAAGTTGGGTATTAAGGAGACATCGCCTTCAGTGCTTTTTTGTGGATAATTAGATATAGCACAATTTAATGTACCAAATATTTGTAAATTTTTATGCAATCAAAAAACTTTATTTATTATATTACTACAAAGCAAGAAATTGTAAAATATCAATTTTTTTCAATTCGGTTTTTAATAACAATTTTTGATCATCACTGATTATTATTTATTTTTAAAATATCAAGAGACACCACTAAAGTATAGAAATCAACCCCAAAGACTTTCAGTCGGAAAAACCGATAGATATGTTTGAAGCTGCAAACGTCAATTCAATTCAAAAATAGCTTAATATACAGAGCGTTCTGTTTAAAATGAGAAAGTTGTAACGTACAATAAAGAAATTAATTAAGGTACCTCTTTCAATTGTAAAAAAATTAACTAAACTTTAATTTGTTTTAAAATGTAAAGATTTTCGTTGACTTCCCGGTATACCTACTTACCGACGTGCAAGTAAGTATCCACCCTAGACCGGAAAAGACAAAAGCTTCAAGCAAGCCCAGCACGTACAACACGCCGAACCCTTCGATGGCGACGCAATACGTGGCAAAGTAAATCGTAAACGAGCAATTGATGGCGACGCTCATGACGAAAATGAAGAACCAAGTTCTATTTTTAAGCCCCACGCAATTGTAAATGAACGGGCAGTGGTGATCGAAATAGGAGACGCATCTGTTGCACACCCTGCAATGCTTCGCTCTCATTGGCCGCAAAGTTCGGCATGTGTGACAGAGTCGGTTCAGCATTACGTTTCGCTTCTTCCACTTGTCGAAGTACGGGATCTGCTTTATCACCCTATGATACGCTTCCGAATTCATCGGGATGTAGCCAGGGTTTTTCCTGTTGGCGACGATCCAGCATATCCACATTACCATGTTCCAGTAGATGAAGCAGTAATGGGAACCTCTTAGAATATTCCAAGTGATCGGTATGACCTAAATGAAATATGACTGGTTTTGTAGCGTATTCGACCTATGATTGAGGATAGACTGGACTTAAGCTGGGCAAATCACGTTGACGAGTTGATCAATTTATTTAAAAGAAGAAACAGCATAAAATAAAAATAATACAAAGCACCACGACAACATAATATTTTCAAGTCTGAGCAAATAATAAAATATCATTATAACAAAAAAAAATAAAAAATGGAAACATTTCAGGTTTGAATTATTATTAATAAAAAAAGACAGCATAAAATAAAAATAATACTAACCAGAACTACAACATAATATTGTGATGTATCACCAAATAAACAAATGAAAAAAAAAAGAAACATTTCAGGCTTCTTCTCAGTCTCCGAATTCTTTAACTTTTCTATTAAATATATGTATAATAAATTATGACTACTTTTATCGGTAAATTTCGACCTGTGATTGAGGAAAAACAAGAGCTGAGTTAAAAGGTACAACCCCACCAGATCTCTGCACTTCATCATCAATCACATTTTGAAGTTGATCAATTCATTAACTTTAACTTTTCCATTAAAAACGAAAATTAATGGTCAAGAAATAATAATCGTTGGGAGAGCTCCGAAAGTTAGTTGTACTATATTTGGGAATATGAATCTGCAGTTGCAGTGATGAGTTTGCCTTTCATGTCTCTCTCACTGACCAATCTCTCGTACACCAAAGTAGACAAATGCACACAGTAGCTTTCAAACTAGAACTTGGAAAGCCGGCATTATATGATCAAATTTTATCAACCCGTAACTGTACCTCCAGCGCTTCCTAATTTTTACATATGTCAACAAAATCGAGGTTAATGTCTTCTATTGCCTATTATTTATTTTGGGGCTGGACAACACAACACCAAGTGGAAGTGACAGGTGTATTTGCATATCATCAGCGTGCTGATGAGAAAAACAATTATTGAAAGCTTGGGGAGACCAGAAGCATGTAGGTACAGGGTGTGGATTATAGAAAACCCTCTTTGATTTTCTCAAATATTAGTAGCAGGATATTATGACTAAAAGTGTCCAATAAAATTAAACACGTATTTCTCGAACCATTCTGAGACCGTCAAGACAAAATTTCGTTTGATGTACGGGGAGTTTACAGCACTCCATGCATGTGCGGCAAAGAAGACATTAGAGAGACCGGACGAAAAATGTCAACAAGGCTCAAAGAACCTGTGTCCTTAAGACTATGACAAACTCATCAGCAGTTGCCGAACACAATCATGAAACCGGACATAAAATTTCATTCGATAAAACACACCAATATGGGAATCAATCATTCGATACATGCCCCCCTTCCCCTCATTAGCTTCACACTCCTCAAACAATATATACGCAGATACAGAGCAGATTCCGAGTGGCAAATTCGATTCATCAACAACCGACGCAGAAAGAATGCAGGAGATTTGTAAATAGTATTTCAGTAGCTTGTAGAGGTTTCTATAAAATATTAGCTTTTTTCTCATTTTTAAGATTTGTGTTCATTTCGTGCCGTTGCTGTAGTCCGGAAAATCGATTGAGTGGCTTAATTCGTTTTTTAATGAGAAAGAAAGGGTCTTACCCTGATGATGTACATCGGGTAACCCCACAGTAATACTGAAGACATGAAGAACACGAGTGGAGCTTTGGAGTTGCCCGCTCGTCCGAACAGTACACCCCAAATTTCGTTGACGGGGGGCAACCATCCGGACCTTCTCTTGATGGCCGCGTGCAAAACATCCACTATATCCATGTGCCTATGGCCGACAGCCAACATAAGCGGCGTTTTATCGTTTTTGTCTTTCGGCTCCAGATCGATGTTGCTCTGTCGAAAACGAGATAGTGCGGTGCACGTTCACCCCAATTCTACCAACCTTTTCGCAGAGGAGCTTCACGCAACTCAGGCTAGCTGACAAACAAGCCAGATGCAATGGCGTGGACCCGAAATGGTCTGGTTTTTGTAAGTTGGCGCCGGAGTACATCAGCAGTTTCAAAAGGTCGGGGTGACCTTTGTAAGCCGCCCAGTGTACCGCGGTATCTCCGTTAATATCCACCAGGTGGTTGAGTGCTCCCATTCCTAGCAAATACGCCGCGGTAGCCGTTCTGCCGAACATACAAGCTGTCATTAAGGGGGTGAGGCCTTTGAAGTCGGCTCCATTGACGGCTACGCCTGCTTGAAGAAGTATCTGGACCACTGCTGTGTGACCTGCGCATTAAAAAATACATCAAGTGCTGTTTCCGGTAAGGTTAAATACTGTACTCTGAAATTCATTACTGCTACATTACTGCTACATTGAGGTTATGATTGTTTTGTTGTTTAGGGATTTCTATCGATTCTTGGATTTTTCTCTGGTAGAAGAATCGATTACATGCAAGAATTAATTTACTCGAATAAGATTTGGTTTCATAATTGTATTCAGCTACTGCTAATAAGTTTATTTGTTGTAGCCTTAAGGCTCTTTCATATTCTTTTAGCCTAGTTGATATTTTTCGTTCATCTGCTATCTGCAATCCGAAAAACAGAAATTTTTTTTTGGACAATTGGTAAATTTGGTTTATACGTTATATTTCTTAAGAACTTTTGATACGTGGTCAGTGATGTTTTCAATGTAAGGAAGGACAACAGTATGTGGGGTTGCTTTGAGTCTCATTGTCTTTGGACGTTTGAGGTGAAGTGTATTTTGTAATGGAATGCTCAATATCTCCAATGTTGAAATTATTAGAGAGAAGAGCAGATGCGAGGTGTTCTAATAATAGGTTCAGTGATTCGGGTTGCGATAGTTTTACGGCTCTGTCAACAAGAGAGTTGATAACCGATAATGGTGATGTGAGACAATGCATTATGGTATAAGTTTGTATGCTTAGGGTTTCAGTAAACGGAATAACCTAATGTTAGGTCTGATTTTCTATTAATGAGAATATCTACAAATGGAAGATTATTATTCGTTTCTAATTCAATAGTTAATAGTTGGGGTGTATAGAGTTTAAATAGCTAAGGAAATCTCGGATATATTTTTAACCATAAGGCCAAATAACAGAAGTATTATCAACGTAATAATTTTCGTTTTCAATTGAAGGTGTCCAGAACAAGAACCATAGCTGTGTCTGATATGTATTCACAAAGTTGACCGTTCAATTAAAATGAAAATATTTGATTCTGGATTATCTGATTTTGATATATCTGAAATAATGTTCAGAGTTTCAGGAATAGGAACTTTAGTAAAAACTCTACGTCGAAACTAAACAGAATATTCTTTGGACCAAATGTAATGGTTTTTCATTGTTCAATGAAATGAAAGGAATGAAAGGTCAAAAGAACATGAAAGAACCTTTAACTCTCTAAAGTTCTTGCTTGTCATCAAATACCTGAGAATCAATAGAAATCTCTAAACAACCAAGCAATCTCGGCCACCCTCAAACAGTATATAAGCAGCTCTGAAAAAACCAACAAGATGATGGGCGAAACGTCAGCAATTTCGATTTAACATCAACCGAAGCAGGAGGAATCCAGAAGATTTGCAACAGTATATTATGCAACAAGTGCGGAAAACGGCATTTGAGGCACGAGCTTAATTGGCACGAGCGGAGCGAATGTTTAATAAACGAGTGATTTAAACAGTTCATTAAACGTGTTGCATACTATACTTTTTCGACGACCGCTAGTTTTTAGGAATATTTTTGCAAAACAACACGAATACGTTCACTGACATGACCGTCATACTTGATACACACCAAAATTCAAAATGTCTGAAAACATACGAAAATATCGTTATCTGTAAAATGTAACAAAAAGGAAAAATGAATTTTATTTTGCCATTGCTGCTATTGTCTCATCCACGTGACTGTTCGAAGTGATTGAAGATGCCCAGTGAGATCTTAGCGAACAAACAAAGAACAAAATTAAACATTACTTTGCTAATTTTTCTCTAACATCCTGAGCCGCTTGGGCAGAAGCAAAAATTGTGACTTGGATAATAATACTCCCTCAATTATGATAAAATGAGCACCACAACATATTCGAGAAAAGCATCAGTTCTGAAAAGAAACTAGTGGATAAAATTACAAATTCGGAGTATACCCTTTCTGCATGCCCAATGTATAGGTCTAGGTCCTTGCGTTCCTAAGCAAGGAAGGTCGATGGGTGCTCCAGTTTCTACCATAAACCTTGTCAACTCCACATTTCCATCTAAAGCGGCCCAATGAGCTGGCGTATAGCCCCACTCGTCTCTAGACCGCAGAACTGGAGTTCCATATTTTTCGACGTAGTCTTCTACATCTGCCAGGTCTCTAAAATACACATTTAGTCGCAGAAGGTAGAGTAAAGTTCTCATGGGTTTTGAGCAAATGGTAAATACAAAAATTGTAAAGATTGTTAGAATGCACAATTCAACATTATTTTTATTTTAAATGCTACTGGGTGGCTCAAAAAAGCGTAACGAATAAAACATACAACTTTTATTAAGTGTGTCATATACCTATTTTTAATACTAAGGTAATTGAGCCCTCCATTTTGAAAGTGATATAAGTTAAAAAATTTAAAGATCTAGTTTGTCCGCTATTTCAAATCAAGTCCTAATAAAATAACATAATTTCAAGTAATTCACAGTATGCAATGAAACTTCATAAATTGAGTTTTATTTTTTGGTAAACAAAATACAGTTTTATATTTTGATAGCGGTATACGTCACTCTGCATTTGTAATTTTGTTGTGTCTTCAGATAGCGGTTCAGGTATGATCAAGTAATCCTATTGATGTAAAAATGCATTATTTTTAGTTAATTGTAGACATTATACTGCGAAGAAGTATAGGTTATAAGTTCATAATTTAAAACATGAGATCAACAAGGATAAGAGAGGATAACAAATCAATGTAATTATTCACAGCATATAAGAAAATTGAAATGAAATAGTGGAGAAGAATATGAAATAAAAGAGTCTAAGCATGTGAGTGGAACAGTTTTTGAAAATAAAGATTGCTTTTGTTTCATAAAATGTATAAATAGATTCGGATATGAAGACAAGAAACCTGTTTGATTCTTTTTAGAAATTATCAAATTTAGAAAAACAGAATCTGTTTATGTGGGGATTGGTTGGAAAACAATCACTAAATTAAAGACGGTCCAGAAATTTCGGAGGATATATGAGAAAATGTATGTCATGGAAAAAAGGCCGGTTAATGTAGAAAAACAAATGAAGATAAGATTAAAATTGTACAAGATATTTCTGAGCTTTCCACCATGCGAGAGCCATTAACCGAGATCACATCCCACTTCAGATCAAAAATATCTAAGCCAGGGATTAGATATTCGAAAAATGTATGAGCTATATGTGAAAAAAATGTGATGAAACAATACATCGCATGGGAATGACTGGACTTTCAGGAATATATTCAATACAAAGTTCAACTCTTCGTAAAAACACGTGCCGAGAATGTCACTCGCTGAAACTAATTATTGAAGCATCCATTAATGAAGACGAGAAGTTGTATCTTATGGAAATTCACGATTCACATCTTAACAGGCTAAAAAAGGTTTAACAGATGACACAAGAAGCAAAAGATAACCCGAGAGAATATTACGGATTTTTATTTGATCTACCGAACTCACTTTCTTATCCAAAATTTTCTGTTCGGTAGCTTATTATGAGCGTAACATGTATGTATACAATTTGGGTTTTCATAATTTCCACAATGAAAATGCTAAAATGAATTCAACAATCGCCTCAAAATCGTAACATTTACATAGGTTTACTATGGTTAAAAATGATCGCGATTTTGGTTTGATAGAAACTAAAATTAAAAAATCGAACTATTTATACATCCCTGAGCATTATTAGAATTTAATGGAATTATGTAAAAAGAGAAACCCATTTTTGGTAGAACGAATGGCTCAGAAAGATTTCCTTTCGACGAAATAACTGGGAGAATCAACGACTAATAGAAAGAGAAACACCGATGGAGGAGCTGCGTCTTCGCTAAAAATACAATGGATCAGATTTATAAGAAATGCTCCATATAAAATGTTTTATAAAACTTCTTTGTATAACAATTCGCAATTGAAAGGCCAAGAATATACGAAAATATTGATTTGCTTCCATTGTACACAACCATTAGACTAATCACAAAAGAAAAACTTAAAAATATAATCGATTTACCACCAATTTTTCACAAACGCTTTATTTCCCTAAATACTAAAAAATAAATTACTTAGTAGCAATGTAATGAGTTTGTATAAAATGTTATTTTCGAATAAAAAAAAAATCCTTGAAGGTTTTATAAAGTCATGCAGTTAATTAATTTTCATCATAATAAATACTTATTTGTTGGCACTATTTAATTGTGAAAATATTTTATTCCATAATACAAAAATATTTTTTAATCCTTTAAAATATCTCAAAACAAGAAATATATGACTTAAACCACTTTCATAATCAAGGGCTCAATTTCAAGTATAAATATAAAAATCATTTTTTCGATTGATAACTAATTAACTACTAGTTTTAAATATGTTATATGGAAACTATTAAGTGCGTTAAAAGTCATACAAACACAACATTTTTGCATCACCAAAAATTTACAGCGTTTTTCTTTTTGTTAATTTTCCAATAACCCTATAACTCCAAAACGGTTCTAGATTCCCAGGTGCAGTTTTTCCCTTAAGTGTTTTATAAAAAATTAAACTCCAGACACAGCCGTTCTCGTATATCTCCTATAAAAAGGTGAATTTCCCTTAGAAGTGTGTAGTCTGACCCACCCTGTACATTTACTACTTCCTTATCATGTTATTATAAAACATATATATATTCTTTTTCTATTCTTTTAAATAAAGTTCATTTGTTGAAGTTTATAGGGCAGAAACACTTGATATTGTCCATGGTGTAGTTCTCGTTTTGACGACTGCGTTAGAATATTGCATTCACTGGAATGGCAGCCAATAAACGTTTACCGAATTCCTAACGTAATACCTTACTTGAGACAATTTTTTTTTACGTTGAAGGGGAAAGTCGGGATACCTTGCCATTCCTCAATCTTTTATTAGTTAGGAGAGGTAAAAGAATTGAATTCGAGATTTTAAAAAAATCCACATCTACTGACAATGTAATACAACTTTCCTTCAAATTTGTTCTAGAGGCTTTCGATTCCACATTCAAAGGGAGGGTTAAGCGAAGATTAGGCAAATTACATTCAATAACTGTTCAGAATAAGAATTTATCTATAGCGTTAAAAACTCACTAAAAAAATCTAATAACGTAAAAAAGTTCTATCGTTGCATTTATTGTTTTTTCAAAAAAACATTTTTTTTGCGATTATCTCAGAATGCGCTACCTGGTAGCATTAAGCAAAAATTATTTGAATTTCAACCTTAAAATAGTACTCCTTTTAACTGCGGTTAATATCGGGAATGCTTGTAAAAACCGAGTTTTAAAATTGAAGATCACCATTACGCCCTAGAGTGGCTGTCAGAAATTTCTAGAACCGTTTCCCTAATACCATACCTCGTACTGGTACACCCGGTATATATAGTGGGTGCATTGTACATTTGAAAGTATCTACCAGTCTTATCCCAAATATGTATTGTGTATTGCCATTATGACTATAGTGCGCAGATAAAAAAATTGGCATTCAGATTTACGATCCGTAGTGTTGAACTGTTTGATCTAAAGTGGTGCTTGTTTGATTAAAGCGAGAATGATATGTTATGATATCAAAGACGTAACAATTCCGTTTCGCTTACCCACATTTGACCAAATCAAATACAGTTTTTTGGGATTGTTCGGAAATTTCGGCTACTATACCGACATCCTTCTCATGATTAGCGGACGCAGCTGGATGATCCGCCTCTGCTACCATGTTGCAGGAGGCAGTTTGCTGAGGCAAGGCCCAAACGCTTCGGGCTATGCCCGGACTGGGGTACACCTTATACAACGTTCTGGACACTGTTCCCCTCAGAAATTTCTAATTCCGTACCTCAGGGTTGTTGGCATCATATCGCCGTCGCGACGCTCTAGGTTATACACAAAACATCAGGATATATATATATATATATAAATATATTGATTTAGAAAGGCGCACGCATCGCGATGTCGGATCACTGTATATCGAGTGTATAGGTATAGTAGATGACCCGACTCCTCTTCATCTTATGGCAATTTTATTTAAAAATTTTATTTATTTATTTAAAAGTAACTTTGAATAAAGGCAGAACTGACGATTGTACATAAACCATATATTATTTGCTTAGTTTTAATGGCATCACCATTTTAATTTTAGATTGTGTTTGCATTCTTGTAAAAGCAGCAACACCGTCCAAATTCACAGAATAAAATGTATGAATACCTAGTCTTCTAGATATTCCTAAAAGGGCATTTAGAGTGAGCCACCCTATATAGTGCAGAAAAAATTAATCATCGTTCGATATGGACATAGGTTCATATAAGTATAGACTCAGTGTTATTTATTATTAAGAAATATAGTTACAGTTGTGATTGCCGTAAAAATAAATAATATGTGCAGGACATATAAGTTATGTGTCCAATTTTCGCAATAATTTCTACAGGATAAATTAATAGTTCAACTTATTATGACAGTGAAAAAATTCAATTACTTCATTACAACATTCCTTGTTTAACTTGTAAAGAGCTGGTAAATAGAATAATAATATTAATTTTAGCCTAAATTATAAGCAGCACCTTCTTTGACGTCAAGGTCAAAAATCGTTTTTACTGCTTAGTTCGGAAATTGGGCATCCGGTTTTATGTTCTGTGAAAAGAACCTTAGGTTTACGTCAGCTTATAGACATATCTTCACTAGTCTACGATTAGCCAACTGATTGACAACTGACAATTGCGTTCAATTGACAATGGTCTGTTCGATTGAATATTAAGTTCGTTTTGATTTCAAACACTAAATTTCTTGTTTCATTAATTGATAGAATTGTTTGTCCGAGTTGATCGTTTATAGTAACCCCTCGAATTAATAATTACAAACGCACGAATAGCAACTTTCCAATGTGTCGTTATAATTAATTAATTGACAATAAAAAATGAAAATCCTAAAAGACAAACTGTTGTCCGAATCTCAACTGAGACGTCTCGGAGAGCACCAGTATTCGTGCCAGTCGGTGAGTCTGTGCGATAGTATCCTGCAGCCTTACTGGAATTGGCTTGTACTCAAAATGCCTATTTGGCTAGCTCCCAACCTCCTCACAATCCTCGGATTGATTACCAACATCTTTACTGCTCTTCTATTAATTGCGTAAGACTTTGATTCAAAACTCTCTGTGCACTGTACTCTTAGAATGTTTGCTATAGGTTTTCGCCAGATGCCAAAGCAGAGGCACCAAGATGGACATGTGCTCTATGCGCTGTAGGTTTATTTGTCTACCAAAGTCTTGATGCCATTGATGGTAAACAAGCAAGACGCACTGGCAGCGCTAATCCATTGGGAGAATTGTTTGACCATGGATGTGATTCGATTTCTACTGTATTTGTGGCCTTGTCTGCCTGCACTGCTGTCCAGCTGGGTAACTATCCAGCATGGATGTTCTTCCAGGTGAAAATATGTTCACAACAAATAAAACAATATTTTATTTCCATAACTTTATTCCAGTGTTTTTGTGCAATGACACTGTTTTATTGTGCTCATTGGCAGACATACGTCTCAGGCACTTTGCGGTTTGGCAAAGTGGATGTAACAGAAGCTCAAATCACAATAATGGGTATTTTGTTGATATCAGCAATATTTGGCCCCAGTGTGTGGTCCACAAAAGTATGTATTATTTGGATTTTTCCTGTCTTACTGCAATTCACATAGTAATTAAATATTAGTAGGTGACATTTAATAAAGTGTTGTGGCGAATTTTAGAGGATAAAAGACTTCTAAAATTGCCCATAATAATCCTCATTACGATTAAACCTAGATTGGGTACAAATTTTTAACTCAATTTTAATTTAGTTAACAGTTTTTATTCTCTCTAGGCATCTATTTGGTTAAGATTACATTTTTACTGTATTAATGATTCATCTAGTTTTTGATCACATTGTGAGGAGTTCATTATCTCATTTTCCATTGCCTTGAGATTATTTTAATGACTTTAAAACTTTTAATTACCTTGGCTGACTAAAGCATTATTTTCATTAAATATTTGCTTGTTTTTTCACTTTGTTTTGGTTAGTTACATGTCAAAGTATATTGGTATTTATTTCTCATATGATCATCTGTGATTTATCATGATTCAATTGTTACCTATTTATTTTTGGTCACATATATATCTAGTGGACAAAAAATGTATCCTTCCACCAACTTATAATCTGCCATTTCTTATGCAAAAATTTATAATAGGGTGCTTTCCATAAGTAAAAAAAATGAGTTTATCTTTAGCAATATTGAAGTGGATATAGTGTTTTAGTGGCACCATTTCTTTGTGGTATTTAATACCAACCAGCACATTTATATGTGGTCTTTGGTCACTGTTTAGAAGCCTTTCAGTGATTTTTACTGGAGGGATTGGCAAAAATGGATCGACTGTTGCAGTAAGTTTAAGGGTGTACACTTTTCAAAGGGTTGTAGCATGCAACAGCTTTCTTAGAAGCAACATTCATCTGGATTAATGTCAAATGGTTCAGTGTGATATTCTGTTAACCTTAAAGTTGACTGACTAAATTAAATAGTCAATAGTGCCACACAGAAAAAATAGGATCATTCCTGAGAAACTGAATGTAAACACAATGCCACTTTTTGTGAATATTATTGATCCATATCCATATATCTCAGCAACATTGGCAAGATTTTAGAACTTTGATTTTTAAGCTGAAACTATTTCCAAGTATAAGTATAAGTTAACAGAATTGCAACACTTGTTGAATACTGTAAACAGTGTTTTTATTGACTTGGTGGTAACAAATTTGGAATATCATGCTTTGGATTTGGAATTAGTTTTCTATTTTACAATATTTTACTAATGTCCGGAGACAGTCAAAGCGTCTACTTTTGAATAGATTTTTGGAGAAGCAAAATGTCCACCATATGCAAATATTGCAATAAACATGCATAAACACTATTGGAGATCAAACTGTAGGGTGGAAAGCATATAAACTAATCGACAACAACCATAAATGTATCTTTGCCCTTTCCTTTTCCAGTCCATCCTCTGTTTTCTAATTATCATGAATTCAGGCAAGTTTAGCTTTGGCCAGATGTTTATAACTAACCCAGAACTACTTGTATGTAGCAGTTGCGCAAAGGAATTTTGGTCATTCTAAAAGAAATACTCATGTCCAACGTTCTAACGAAAATAAAACTCGTGGTGTCTCTGAAAATAATACCTTAAACCCAAGTACGCACGTCATGTTTTTTAAGAAATAAGAATGAATTCATTTCTCAGAAAAATATTATTTTGATGATAATATACTCGCGACGCAATAGGGTAATAATAGAGCAACAATATGGCAGTAATAGTTACAAACGCGCAGGGCAAAATGGCTCCTTAGCTCGCAAAATACAATTTTTTTCCTTTGTATGTTGTGCCAAACCACATTGCATATGAAGTGTTTTAAAGTATCTTTGATAGAACTGGATATGTCTTGGACTATGATGTTGATTTTATATTAGTTGTTTGGGTTTCTTTTTGTGATAAAAAATTTAGAACGTGAAATTTAATTTAAATATCTATTATGTACAGGGTGTTATTGAAATGACGTCATATACCCTAATGAGTTGTGGATCCTATCCTGATTTGGAATCCGTATTTTCTGCACATTATGCTATAACAAATCTAACAAATGGACAATGGTAGTTTATTCAGGAACAAAAAAACTATCAAATAAGGCTTTGAGATACACTAAATTACAATAATAAGAAATAGAAAACCAATATTATGGACATTAACCCATACTTGACCTAGTTATACATTCTTCTCGTTAAATTTAAAATCTGTTTAAAGAATAAAATTAACCGATCTTTAATTACTATATGTATTTATACTATTTAATTAAATCTTAGCTGGCAACAAGAGAACATTAATAGGCGTAAATAAGTTAATAAGTTAACTAATAAGCAAATTAAGTTAAAACACCGTCATCATTTCAATAACGCCTAATATACGTTAAATGTACTTAACACCTAATATATGAACAGGGTGTAGTGCCTTTTAAGCTAACAAAAATAAGAAAATTTGAAGATTGTGTTTTTGTGATATTAGTTAAACTTTGTTATGGACGGATGAGATCTCCCACATGGGTTGTTGATCAATAAAAGTTGCTGACGGTTCGCGAATAAGCCTGCTGGCTTCTTTAAAGCTTAACCGAAAGCCAGCAGGATGATCAGAGAAACATCAGCAAAGAAATCGAGAAGATTTGTAAATGGAAAGAAAAATGTTAAAACACTAATGACAATCTTCATAAAATTGAGCGTTCTATATTTTTTTTCGTAAAATATAGGAACTCATGTATTCTGCAACAAAATTTATTATAATATGAACTTGAAAGATTTTATTTCCATCAACTATATTTGTTTACCACGATAATATTTATAGGTATTCGGACTCAATGTGGTGCAATTAGTGAGCACCGTGTTCTACTTAGGATACGCACGCGTGATATTAGATTTTAAAGCGAACATGCTAAAAGGAGGCAAAGGGAAAAACGGTTCCACAGTTGCTGTAAGATGATTTTTGGCAATTTTCCAACGTTTCATTGTTTTTTCACCGATATGGAACGACTTGAATTATTTATATAAAAATTAATTTTATTGTACATTACGGCGGATTATTTTTTTTTCGAGAATTTTTATATAAATAATGTCAACTAGTTATTCTTGTTTGGACACTAACTTCGTGAGATTGGTTAGACCAAGGACGAGGTGAATTACCTGGGAGGTATCGTTATCCCTAAATGCTAACCGCTTTGCCCCTTTAAATGTTCTCGCTATGTTGTTATTATTATCTCAAAGATATTTCCAGTTCTAATGGAGATAGAAAATAAGTATTTGTTTTTTGCTTCGGAACTTTCTTCCCCAACAGTGACCAGTTGATTTACCTCGTCTCATTGACTAATCAACTATTAACAAATGTCTTGCGATAGGATAGCATGTCATTTTATTTCAGTTCATGACGTGGTAGAAAATAATATTGTAGAGCTTTTTTTACTTATCTATTTGCATCTGCTGAAATACTGAAATTCTTTTTCTTCTTGCCCCCCAGCAGTATGACATTTTTAGTTGAGGAACAGAGTAAGATAAGAGGATCAGAACCCAAGTACTAAATGAGATGACTGAGTTCGTTCACCTCGACAATATCCACTTATACCGTGCTTTCAATTTATCTTAATAATAAATAACATAATAAACGGCGAAAGTGTTTCCTATGCACGAAAAATAAAACACTAGCAATCCTATCCTATTATATATTTTATATATATTCAATAGAATACGTTATTCTGATTACAATTATATAACACACTTATATTTGACATATTGCTAAGTAATATTGAGTGATTGATTGAAGTTATTGACAACTTTGTTATTATTATTATTATTATTAGAATGGTGTTTCGTCGAATTAGCATTTGTGAAAGAAGTGACTATCAGAATAATAAAAAGTTGACAAGCTTAAGGAAACATACTTGTTCAATCAAAAAAAACATGTAACATCAAAAATTAACAAAAGATTCAAAACATAACGAAAAATATCCCACTCACATTGAAATCGGCTATGACCTTCATAACTGGTGCAGAATATCTGTGTTCTTTACTAAATGAGTTAGTTTCTTTTTTGTAGGCAAATCTTCTTGATTGGGAGTGCTGCCGCTTAACGAAACTCACTGTTTCTTTCTCTTGTTTGTTTGGAGTGGGCGATGATATTTAGGATCTGGTTTGCTTTCAAGTAGGATTTAGTGGTCTATGACCGCACACTCCCATATATTAACTCCTCCATCAGATTCAGCCCTCGTAGAAAATCCGGGAGTTTTAAAGACCTCAATCCTCCATTCACATCTGGCACTCGTCATCACTATCTGTGAATGAGTCAACCCTGCCTAATCGCTGCTATTATGCTTGAATTTGTTCTGCTATCCAAACTTTGATTGTATATCTTGTCAATTGGCATGATAAAGCCAACATAGGCTATGGACCTGGGTGGTATTTCCGCTCCCCTCATTGCTAGAAGGTTGACTTTTTCATTATGTTACAGTCCACTATGGTATCCATGTCAGTATTACCTTATTACGGCATTGTAACATCGATAGGACCTCTTGGCAGTTTCTTTCAGCTTGGACGTACTATGGGTATTTTTAGCGCACGCAGCTATTGCCTCCTTGCGCAGATCTCAATCGCGCGTACTTCGGCTTGGAATATGCTGGGGTATGTACTAAGTTGAATTGATAGTTTCGTCCTTTGGTGCTCCCCATGCTTGGCAGGATCACTTCATAGGGGAGGTCTGTAAATGATGTCTTTGTCTTGTCTTTGAAAAAATCTCAAGTAAAGATTAACTTTTTTTGCTTCTTGTATTGAAGCCTTCCTCATTCAGTAACTGGTGGTATTGTACGGAGGTCAGCGAACCGGATAGTTCGGCACTGTGGGGAGGTCTTCAATTCGGATGAGTTTTGCCGGTAATGCAAAATTTAATAATGCCTCTGCTGTATCACGAATCTGTAAGCCAGATGACCCTAAACTGTCTGCGGAGATCCAAGCAGCACTAGGCTGTAGTGGTACTAGGTACAAGTGGTGGTCGTTCATTTTTATAAAATTGTAAAATATTTTAAACGTATCGAATTTTATAACCTTACCATTTTTACTTAAGGTTATCATTCTAATCTTCTCGGATGGAAGTTATCTCATCGGATTTTAGAAAAACTGAAAACTTTCTTTTTCTCCAGAGTAGCGTGTTCCTTCAAACAGATATTTGTAAGTTTGGCAAAGAAATTTGAAGAAATATGTTATATTTTAAATTTAAATTTTTAAATAACTATATCAACACAAAGAATATGGTAGCAATATGGCGAGCCTTCTCACAATGCTGTTGGTTGGCCGAACTTGTCATTAATGGATTTCCTCTTTTCTTCTTCATGTGCCTATTCGTTACTAATATTGGCGATCAATCTAGCTATAACGACGTTTTTCACAGCTGCTCTAAATAATTGGGTTGTTGTTTTTGTTTTGTTGTTAAATTTTCGAGCCATGATATTCTTCTTCTTCCTGGTCCTCTTTTACCATAGACTTTTTCTTGGAGCACAAATTTTAAAAGGCCGTATTTACTTTCGCTCCTCATAATATGTCCAAGGTATTCCAGTTTTCTTCTCTTGATGGTGTCCATTATTTGTAAATGCTTTTGTATTTATTTGTTGCAGTGCTCTTTTGTTACTGTATCCACCCATGAAACTCTTAATATTCTTCTTTAAAGCGACAGTTTGAGGCCATCCAGTCTGCTTTTGGTTGCCTCGGTTAATTTCCATGACTTCATTCCTTTGAAGTATGGAGAATATATGGCACCTAAGGAGTCTGATTTTGATGGCTATGTTGAGACTGTGACGTTTAGACAATATGGCCATTTGATTGAAGGCTTGAAAAGTTTCCCTATTCTAATTCTAATTTCCTATCGGTGATTCCAATCATTATTAATTATGGTTCCCAAGTAGGTTAACTTTGGGCGACCTATAAAAAATCAGGTGCACAGAACAGTGGTAATCATCAATCAGTTAAGATAAAAAAATCATGCAATTAAAGTTCACAAAAAAATGTGTTAAACAAAATGATTGTCACATACCGCCATTTTTAGAACAGTAAAAAAGATTCATTTATTTTTCTTGTTCGCATATGAAATAACTCTTACTATCTATAATTTCAAGTTTTAATAAAAATAAATCAACTATTTTTCGTCCTAACTTAGCCAATATCTCTAAAAAAAACATAAAGAGTGGTACAGAGTGTTCCATTAAAAAATATATCAAACTGGCTGATATATATGAACAACTTGGCTGCTAACCCTACATTTTGTTTCTTATTTTTCTTGACTTCTTTAAAAACAAATAGTTATAGCCGGTCAAAGTGTTATCAAGATAAATTAGACGGACGGTACTTTTATATAATCTATTCTCCGCTTTATCTGTTTTTAAAAGCCTTTTTTATTCCTACTTTGGACGCTTGCACTTTTAAAGATTCCAATAGTGGACATGGAAGTGAAAATATTTTCGGCGGGTGTTATCTGCGTTGTTGCCGCTTTTCTGGCTCGAGTTCAATTTTTGGTAATTTTTAACGGCGGCGCTGGCAAAAACGGATCGACTGTGGCTGTAAGATTGCTTATAAACTTTTAACTCAAATTTTTACGCACCGTAATAATTACTAATCACATTACGCATGCCCTGCTAATTTGTACTAATCAAATTTTGTTTAAATTTTTGTCTGTAGCGTTTTTTTTTTTGCAAATTTTATCGGTAGCTTTGTGATGCTTTATAGAACTGTAGTTAGTTGTGTTGTATCCGAGGTTTGTTCAGGAACAGCATTTCATTTTGACATAATAGTACAGAATAGCTTCATTCGCAGATCAGTCAGTAATTTTTTATTTAAATTTGGCGCTTTGACCTAGTTTTGCGATTATGGAATCAGCTAATCGATGTCAAAAAGTACCTAATTTCTTATTTGTTTTAAAACTTTAAGCAATTATTTTAAATTTGAAGGTTTTTCTTATATTTTGCAAAATCTGGAAAATTGGGTTATCTTATTTATATTACGTTTAAACTAGATGCGACAATACACATCTCCAGACCTAACATTGACATTTCATAAAAAATCATCCGTTATCAACTCTCTTGTTTACAGAGCTGTAAAACTCCCTCAGCCGCAGTCATTGAACCCAGATTTAAAACAACTTACATCTACCACATTAAAAATATTAAGAGTTTCATCACAAAATACACTTCACCACCAAGAAAATGAGTCCGAAAGCAACCCCATACTTGCCACTGTCGTCCTGCCTTATCTTCAAACCATCACTGACTACATATGAAAGGTTTTGAAGAAATATAAGGTCAAGACTAGATTTACCATTTGTCCGAAAATCTCTCAACATCTTGGATCTATCAAAGACACAATTCAATTTGAGATGCAAGCAGTTTACAGCAATCCATGTATATGCGGCAAAGGTTACATTACAGAGCCCGGACGAAAAATATCACTAGGCTCGAAGACCATAAAAGAGCCTTATTTGATAAAACTAAAATTCTTGCATGTCTTTTACCAAAGAAAAAATCAAAATCTTAACCGCGACCCCCAATATGGGAATCAATCATTCAAGACAATGTTCATATCCTTCCTTTAGCTTCCCCCACCCCCCCAAAAACATTCAATAAATAGGTACAGAGTAGAATGCGGTTCAGTTTCAGTTAAGGTGTGTAGAAGCCGACAAAATTTCTTTTTGAACCTATAAAAAATAAAAACCCACTTCGCTGCAGATAAATAAAAGACAGGAAGGAAAAAATGTACGGAGATGATATAACCAAGCCATATGATGACGTAGAAGAACCATTGCACATGGCGGACGTTTGTTCCAGTCCGGTTCCAAAAAAGTTAGCAACCGATTGGACCTATGAAAAAATTTCGTTTAGTATCTTTTAATTGAATCGTTAGAGGCATAGTGCCTATAGTTTTGTGAACAAGTGCTTGTTTTATGCGAATGTCTATAAATTTGTATGGTGTATTGGTCGGTTTCCTAATGTCTCACATTCACGCTGGTATCCAGAACAGATGTCGTCATTTTATGACAAATTATTTAGAAGTTTATTCTACTGTATGAATATATTAACACACCTGCAGGGCTATGGAATAGTAAAGACCCTTTCCTTACGAAAGCATCCTTTTGGAATTTTAAATTATCTTTACTATTATTTGTAAGCTAGCCTAATGACCTTCAGTAGTCGTGGCCATTAGAAGTTAAATTAGTAATAACCAAACCGTATATCAAACATACAACTGCTTCAACATCTTTGACGTTTTCAATGGTGGACACTAGATTGACACCAAGTTTCCAACAGGTTGAGAGCTAATCATGCGCAGAATGAACACCGGTTATCCATTTTGCTGTGCGAACGAAGCTAATGCTAATATGCTAATGAAGGATAATGCTGTTTCTTTATAAATAAATAGGTATTACGTCAAAATGAAATTCTGTCTTCGCTCAGTGAAGCCATTGAGCGAAAATAAAATGGTCTACTCTCCTTAGGGCACTAGCGTTTTATCCCCGGTCATACCCATCGTACTAGTAGTATTGCCGGCTTTCATAATATACAAAAAGTCAGTGCAGCAAATTTACGAGACCCATCCAGTGTTGTACATCCTAACATTCGGATTGGTAGCGGCGAAGGTCACAAATCGACTGGTGGTAAGTAAGCAGCTTCTAAGTTTCTATCCAATTGTGATTTTTTTTTAATTTGTTCCAGGTAGCGCATATGACAAAAAGCGAGATGCATATGTGGGACTATTCGTTGGTGGGACCGGCTATGTTATTCTTCAATCAATATTTTAATACGTTTATTAACGAATATATCATCTTATGGCTGGCCTTGGTAAGTGTTTTTTCATAGAAATTGATACCTGGTATCAGACTCGACAGTTGGTTAGGGAACAATGGTAGGAAGAAATGGGTAGCACATTAATACGTATCCATGTGACTAATTCGAAAATCTATGTAAAATGTATTCATGTAAACGCGACTTTGACGTCAAGCTTTTATTTAATGGTCGCCGCCAGGAAGAGAACCGACACAACTTCAAAATATATTTTATGTATTTTTTTTAATGTTATTTTTCTTCAAATTTTTAACGGGAAAAACTAAAGCAAACTGAGCGAAAATATTTTTCATTCCACGGGCTAATGTAATACTTTTTATAAAACTTCTGGACTCCTCTTGCGTCGGTTTTTGTTGAGTCGAACTTGCTAGCGTTTCGCCAATCATCCTGTTGGCTTCTTCAGAGCTTAACTGAAACTGGCCCGCATTTTACTCTCTACCTGCTTATAACGTGAAAGAGCCTTAAGACTAAGACAAATAAACTCATCAGCAGTTGCCAAACACAATCTCGAAACCGGACATAAAATTTTATTCGTTAAAACTACAATTCTTGCATGTAATCAATTCTTCTACCAACGAAATATCCGAGAATCTATAGAAATCTATAAGCAACCCCGACTCGGGTCTTTACCTGTCACCAATATGGGAATCAGTCATCCGAGACGATGTTTATGCCCCTCCTTTAACTCCGCCCAGCTCAAACAATAAATAATCAGATACAGAGTAAAATGCGAGTTAACAAGTTAGCGAGTTAGACACAACAAAAGCGACGCAGGAGGAATCCAGAAGTTTTGTAAAAAGTGAGTGAAAAGATTGTTACTAAAATCAGTAGAAAATTTTGGCCATGGTTAAAATCCTAATTGATGTTTTTGTAAAATTTAAAAACAGTTAGGCTATTTCATGGCGAAAAGTGTGGTTATTTTGCTCCCACTGTCCGATAAAATAAAAGAATTATCATTATTAATATTTTTGGCCTTATTTTGCTGGCTGCCGTATGAAGCTTGCTTTCTGCTATTGTTTATTAACAATTAAAAAACAACCATTTTAGACTGTTTTCTTTCCATAACTTTTTTGTTTATTCACCGATTCATTTAAACTATTGTAAAAAAAATTATAGCTTCGACTACATCTAAAAAACACTGTTTCATCACGCCTTAATTAATAATAAACAATTTTCAAAATATAAAAATGTACTGTCGAGTCTAATACCTCAGATGTGCAATTGCAAATGCCACAAATATCAATTCGTTTGGATTAAATACTCAATAGAAAAGTGTTCATTGATTGAGGACTGCGTCAAGCGCTTAAAACTGGAAATTTCAGGTGTGGGTAACCTTGGATTTAGTAGTGTACTGCTATAGAGTTTGCCAGGAGATTTGCAAATACCTCGGGGTGGAATTGTTCAGCATTCCTTACCCAGGCAAGCCCGCGAAAAACATCAGCGAGAGCACGCAATTGTCCGATCGAAACGGTACGAAACACATTAATAAAGCAAAGTCTAGTAAAAGTAAACATTAACTGCTAAACTGGCAAATTGTTTTATTCCACCTGCGTAACTAGAGTGAAATAAAATCGTTTTGCTGCTCGGCACGTATTGTAGAATTATGTATATATAAATATTATTTATTTAGAATAGAACAGTGTTGGTAATAAAATAATTTGGCTGATTTTTACTATTTCCTGTTTTGGGTCCGCACCCTCTCTGAGCTCCTTCGGAATTATAACCTTGGCATTTATTGTTCTTAGTTTCTCCAGAGTGTGAAAATAGTCGATCTGTTTTACGTAAAATTTTTATTTTTAATTTTTGTACAGGCCAAACTGGAGGCGTAGTAGAAAATATATTAGTTTTACCTTAAAGGGCATCGATTACTAACTTTCTACTAGAAAATAACGAGCAATCGGAATTTGGCCGAACAAGGCTACAGAGGGAATATTCCAACGAAACCTTAGTCACACAATAAGAAATTTATTGTATATGTAATAAAATATTTTTTTAAATGTTCTTCATTCATCTGTATAGGGTGGCACGTTTAAGAGGGGCCCATACCTTATTTCGAAACCTACGGGGTTTACAAAAAAAAATTAAATACAAAAGTTGAAAAAAAATGATGTTTTTGTTCTCAATCGTCGCTTTTTTATATACAGGGTGGTAAAACAAAGTTACATATTTTTAAATAGAACACCCTACATTTTATTGCATTTTTGAATAGTCCTTTCAAAGACAAATTCAACGATATATATGAGTATGTGTCTGTTATACACCGTTTCGGTCTTATTGGCGATCATTTTTGAACCATCATTATTGGGTGATTTATTAATTTTTTAAACTTTTTTCCATCTATTATTTTTACGGAAATATTGCTTTTATTTAGGCAATGATCAAATTTAAAATATTTTCTTAAAATACGCGGTGTTGCCACGTTTTGCAAAATGATCTTTTCTTTTATATTATTGGATTTTCGAATAGCCACGTTAATAGCAATTTCAATTACAAAGTACGGGTCTCTGACTTACCGTTTTGGCTTAATTGGCAATTATTTTCCAGTAATACGTAAATTCTTTTACATTAATAGTTTAAGAATCTTGTATTGGAATATGGAAAAAAACTTTTAAAAAATATTCATATTCTTAATAATATAGACCTCATGTTTTGAAAAAAATATAAGAAAACTTGCCTGTTGAAAGGCACAAACACAAAATTGATATTATTAATTTTGACCTTTTTGACATAATCATCCCAGTAGCTTTGAAAACAATAGTAGTTCTCTGTTGTGGTAATATTACTGATTTTTTGACTGGTATCAGTGTATTATAATATTTTAAGCGTATGTTTTCGGACTTCCAAGATTTTCTATTTATTTTATTAAGTTGAATTTTTGTTGAGTCTATATTATAAAATGTATGCGAAGCAGGAAAAAGTTGACCTATTAGAATGTTAAATCCTGCTCTTGTTCTCAGATAATATAGAGCCAAATTCCCCCTAGGCGACTGCCAATAAAAAAATATATTTGCCAAAATATAGATGGCAGTAGTTAGTGACCAAAAGAACAAGAAGCACAATTCAACTTAAGAATCGAATTTTGCAATATAATGTTGGATAGGCATTTTTTAGATAACATATTTCAAAATCTAATTTGAACCGATGAATCAATGTTTACAATGTCTGCGGTGTTGTTTAGTAGAAAAAATACGCATTATTGGAGTTCAGAAAATAAAAAATGTGTTTTTCAAGTAAATAAGCAGGGGTGAAGATCCGTGAAAGTATGGTGCGCAATTTAAACTAATTAAGGAACGAAATTCGGCCACTTATATATAATAACAATCCCCAAATGAGCATCTAAATTTCATTTGGCAGAATGATGGCGCTCCTTACCATCGAAGCGCTGCAATCATTCGTTTTTTAAACGAATATTTCAGAGTCGGTTGGACTAAACGGAAACAGCAAGGAGTCCAGATTTGACCCCGGTGTACTTTTTTTATGGGGCACATTGAAAGATATGGTTCACAAAGATAAACCGTCAACAGTTTTGGAAGTGCAGAAACGAGTTCGCTCGGCAATACACTATCTGAATGAAACCAATTACGTCTCAAATGCCATATACCATTTATAAATAGCATGTCCTACTTGTATTCCTCAAAACGGTGGACATATTCAAAACCTAATTTAATTAATTTTACTTGTAAGTAATATGCATTAGTAGCTAGGGTTATGGTTATTTTTTGTAATCATTTCGCATAGACATTTGAACGTAGTTATAAGCAATTTGCAATACCATTTATAAATAGCATGTAAGCATTAATTTTCCTTGTATGTAATATGCATTAGTAGCTAGGGTTATTTTTTTGTAATCATTTCGCATAGACATTTAAACGTAGCAATGAGCAATTTGCCAAATTTAGCAACATTGTGCAAAGCTTAATATTCTATTTTTAATATGACTTCTTAACAATGCTCTAAAATGGTTGTGATCAAATTGATAATTCTTCTCTTGATTAAATCTTATACCCAGTTTTTAATTTTGTCTGCCAATTTTACCAAATCGGTAAGTCAGAGACCCGTACTGTATTATACAATTGAAATTGCTATTAAAGTAACTATTCGAAAATCCAATCATATATCAAGTTCTTGTTGAAATGTTACTAAATTTAGTATTTTGCCCCGTTTGAACTGATTGAACATACAAATAGAACTAATATATTTCTGAAACGTTATTATAGTATTGGCCAATTTTTTCTTTAGTATGTTGCTACGCCTTCAGATAGCCATTTTTACTATGAAATATTGTGAAGTATTTCCTATTTCCAAATTTGAATAAGTGATTATTTTTCTATAATTTAAAATTCACGTTGGGGAGATTTTAGTTGTTGTGTTGTCGTCTGCGTCGTCTTTAATTGGGTGTCTCATTTGAGAAAATTGAGAAAAGTATCATTTTAAATTATTTTAAATTTGCTCATTGCCAAAAGAAAAGTACTATTTTCGTAAAAATAATGGATGGAAAAAAGATTTAAAAGATAATAAGCTAACCAACAATGTTGGTTTAAACATAACCCGAATTCTGAAGATAACCGCTAATAAGTTCGAAACGGTGCATCACAGACCCATACTCATATATGTCGTTGAATTTGTCTTGAAAGGACTATCCAAAAATGCCATAAGATGTAGGGTGCTCTATTTTTAAAAAATATAACTTTGTTTTACCACCCTGTATATAAAAAAGTGACGATTAGAAAAAAAAGGGTATGTTTCGAGATAAAGTATACCGCATGGAAAGTTTTTTCAGTTTCATTCGTAAACTTCGCATCGACATTGACCCACCACTAATATTTGAGACAGTTTCGAAGATAATTTTGAATATATAGAGTGATTCCCAATTATAATGGGGAAACTTAACAGTGTATTCAGCAGATATGCATAAGTAAAAAAGTTCTTATAAAATTATGATTTATTTCTTCAAAAATTGAAAATATAAATATGAACGAAAATATATATATTTTTAATGACCAAATAACACACTTTTTTCCACTACTATATATTTATGCGAATCAAGTAAGCAGTTCGCGTGAAAATTAACTTTGAAATTGACCCCACTTTTAGTGACGCATTAATTTAATACAGCTACTAGAGATATAGAGTCCCTGCCTGTGCCGATTTATAAAACAATTACAACAAAAAATGTTGATGTCTGTTTAACGTACGCATGCGCGGCATTTAAAAATCTCATTTTTAACCAAAGACCTTGCGGCATTCAACAACCAACATGCCCGATAAAAAATTTATTAATAAGTCTGGATCATTCCCATCTCTACCTGCCTGTGGGGCATCAATTTTTACCATAGTGGTGTCACTATATTATCTACTAGCTATATGATTAATTTTAAAGCATTTAAAATGTTTTTGGGACTTTTTTTTGTAAATTGTTATTGAACCATGTTGTCAGGTAAATGCAAATTTATTTTGTAAAAGTTAGGTTTATTTTTTCTAACCCTACCTCTATTCACATTCAGCTTCACATTGATTAAATTTAGTTTTTAAAGTCGTTGGTGCTCTTCGGTTAAACGAATTTAACAAATATCATAAACAAAAATGGCTCATAGCGTTTATATATAAAACAATTTGCATTACAATACTAACCAAACCTAACCCATATTTTATGATACAACTTGTACAAAATCATTTTTCAGATGCAGCTTCAAAAATGCTGCTTGAGGAAGATGAAGAAGAATGAGAGAATGAATGGTTTTAATTTATTTGAATAAAAAGCTTTTGCTTTTTTAGGTTCCATTGTATTATTTATTGCCTTTATTTGGATGGATACAATATTAAATTGTAATTGCATGTTTCACTGCGACATTAAGAGTATGAGTATGAATCTTTTTTTTTAACAATTTTGGGAATATTTTCATATAAAAATTATATTTGAAATTGTCATAAGAATATTATAGCACAATGGTAATGGAAATTTTCTTTACAACCACATCAAGTTACAGTTGCAAAATTCTGTACAATAAAAATAATGATTTTTAAACTATCCCATCTTACTATTAGTTTTTCTCTTCAAAAGCGTCTATAGGAATTTTATCTGCTTTATACAACTGTACAAACAATTCCAATGATTTTTTCAATTCAAACTTACCTTCTTCTAAACACCTACAATTTCAATTTCAAAATAGTAAAGAAAGCAGCATCAGTGTTAAGCATTATACATACTTTAATGCCCAATCTTTCTTGAGGTTCGTAAGTGCCATCAAAGTAACGATACAATCCCTAAAATCTTTTTTGTTTCGAGCTCTGGGTATGACGTCTTTGTTTAAGGGTACCAATGACTCCTTAAAGTGTTGAAGCGAGACATTCACTTGGTTTGAAAATGCATTGTGAATGTGCATCTGCTCGTTAATTATGGAGCAACCTCCTTCAGGGGTTAACGCAAGAACAAATTGTCTAGTAAAACCTAAGAATCGATCATCTGGATAGGTCGGTAACTCATGGAATACACCCGAAACCACAATTATTGCTAGATTATACTAAAATGTCGGGGTTATGACTGACCTAATGTGTAACATTATATAGCATTATGCTCACACTTTTTATCATCAAGTCCACACTAAATGTGTAAGGGTCATGTTCAGTGTGTGGAAGGCTTTTTATAAAAAAGTCAACAATTTTTTCCCTGCTCATGTACAAAAACTGACTGGTCCTTGACAAATCCGCACACTTCATTAAGTTTCTCGAAAATACGTTGTATGTTTTCAACCTAAAAATACAAAGTTCAATGCAAAGAGTAATCTTAAAAGTTTAAAGGCTCCATTTACAGATCACTTACTGGGCTGTTTTTGATGATAATTGGTTAGGATGGTAGGTGCTGGTTAGTGAAAACATTGCGTTCTTGTCGTAAATGTTTTCAAGACCCAATTTACTTCTAGAATCATAAACTGTGAAATAGTACTCCACAAATTGATTTGCCAGGTCTATACCAGAATCATCGCATATGAAGTTTCGTCTAAGAAGTGGTAATTTGCCATAACTTAGTAGTAATCCATCCTAAAGGCCAATGGAAAATTTTCAATTATAAATAACATGTTTACAGTATGTTATACTTACAAGCACTTCCAAATTTGGAGAGTATATCCGGATGGTCGAAATATACTGTTGCTCATCAAATTCCAGACAAAATGGATTACCACTCAAATTTAAATTGTTTAAGTGAAAATTTCTTATATAGCCAAGCTCACTTACAGAAGAAATCTATAAGGAAATAGAACAGGACTGATTTTATATTTCAATTCTTTAAGAAATTACCAAATTATTACTCAAATCTAAAGAATGAACCTTTGCAGTTACCAATACTTCTAGTGGATTTAAAACTTTTATACCATTATCAGCTAAAATGATCTCTTCTGGATTCAAAGTTTTTGCCAAATGTAAAACAAAGTACATAATTTTTGGCTGTGACAATGGGCAAAATTCATTTAAATCTAAAAAAAAATTAACAGTAAAACTAAATAATACAGTTATTTATTTACCTGGATCATCATAAAATTTTTCACAGTCCAATGTTTTTGTTGAATTATCATAGCGTTTTGATAGCACCATCATAACGTTTTTTTGTACATCAATTTTAATTTCGTTAGTAGTAGAGAAGTTTAACAAAATACTCAGCTTAAACTATTAGGAAGCTATTTAAAAAAACGTATTCTACGTCAATTAACAACTTACAGGTGTGTGTTTCTTGTTGGCACTATTTTTATTCCAGGGATGATCCACTATTAAATTATCATTGCATAGTTTATCAATAGCGGCCTCACAATTTCGGGCCAAAAAATATGAATTTGAACTAGTATTTTCTTTAACAAAAAATACTGGAATTAAATCTAAGGGATGGACGTGATCCAGTATTGCTTTTAGAATTTCATTTCTACTTAATCCATCTGTATTACTCACCTAAAACCGCACTATATAGTAGCCAATGTTAGTTAAGCAGCAGCAAAGACTTACAGTAAACTTATGCCAGTACCTCACATTGCGTAAAAGTTGTCGATTTTTGAGTGTAATTCCGGCAGCCAGGGTTACATTGTTGACTAGAACTGAACCCGGTTTGGGTGACAATGTTAGAATATTTACAGCAGACATTACAAATAATGTACTAAAACAAAAACAAACTGCCAGTAATATTTAAGGTTAGTTTCATAAAAGTCAATAAACAAAATATTACAGAAACCCACACAGTTGACAATTCAATTCAATTCAACGATGCGTTTCACAAAAAACTGTTGGGCATGATTACCAGGACCATTCGCCCATTGCCGACTTCCGTCGAGGATCACACAGTTGACAAAAAAATGGAAAAGTTATCTCTTCTTAAAATTGTGGGTCCAATTTCACTGCTCGCATATGCCCATCAATATTTTGCAATGGGATACTAGAAGAAGTACCTATTCATTTTGCCATGAAGCAGAACGGTATAATAAGATAATATACTCACTTTGTTATTCACCACTAATTTGCAGCAATGAGGCTTAAATTATTGCCAATGCCGTGCTATTATCAGCCCTAGCGTATCTGGGAAGATAAGGTAAAAAATACAATAATGGGTGAACCCAATGGGGGTAATAGTTTTTCTTTTGAAGGGACAATCTGGCACTAGTTTTATTAGAATTTGTAGAGAAAAATGTTAAGGCAAATTGCCGCAGTAGGTTGGCATAGAATGCTCATCGCTTTCTTAGCTATATGGTTATTAATTTTGGTGTTAACAGCTTTTCCTATGTTAAATACCAATGTCACCAATTATGAAGTCAGAACAGCACAAAGGTTATCCAGAGCCCTGTTAGACTTGGAAGTACTGCGTAAACAAAATGAAGAACTGCAAGACCTCTTTAGGGATATTAGAATAAAGTAAGTGTGAGAAACTTACACCAACATTATTTATGATTGAAATTTAGCAATTTAAGTGATGATCAGAAGGAGGCCATTGAAAACTTTCAGAAGAGGTTAACGAAGGCGGATCAGTACAGAAAGCAAGATTTAGGGTACATCAGTCAAAAAAGTGAGCCAAATACCAATTATGAGCTCCTACGAAGAAGAATTTATACCAATTCTAAAGAGTTTTGGAATTATCTTCATTCAAACTTTGTGGAGATTCAAAAAAAAGCAAGTGATATTGCCCCAGATGTTGTTGATCTGGTAAATCAAGTGTTGAAGTTGGGCATCGAACATAAAAGGTACTAGTGCAATCATTCTATTGTTGATCTATTAAAACAGTCAGTGGTTAAAGGTCATTGCTTCATGATATTGAGGAGATTGCAGAAGTGGATGGTTACAAGGAGTGGAGAGAACAAGAGTTTCACAATTTAAGCAATCTTGTCCAGACTAGATTTAAGAATTTGCAAAACCCAAAAGATTGCTCAATTGCTAGAAAATTAGTTTGTAGTTTAAATAAGGTAAACTGGGTAACAAAAAATTTGCAGTCAGTTTAATGACTATTAAAAATTGAAAAAATTTTAGGGTTGTGGTTACGGATGTCAACTTCACCATGCTGTATATTGTTTTATGGTAGCTTATGGCACTAAGAGAACGATGGTACTGAAATCAAAGGGGTGGAGGTACCATAGAACAGGCTGGGAAGATATCTTCAAGCCACTCAGCGAGACATGTACTACTCCTGATGGAGAAAGCATATCAAACTGGCCAGGAAACCTGGAGACTCAGGTTCTGAATCTTCCAATAATTGACAGTTTGTCTCCTAGGCCCCCATTCTTGCCCCTGGCAATACCGGAGGATCTGGCGCCGAGGTTAGTGTTGGTTTGTTGGAAAAAACCATTATTATTGGCATGGCAGTTATTGCCTAGAAAAATTCTGGTATAAAATTCTTGTGCCACTAACTCTTTTGAGGGGAAAGTATGAAAAAAGTAATTCATAGGTTCCATCATTTATTAACTAAAAAACACAGTGACAAATAATCTGTTGAAAAAAATTGGTTTTATTACTTTTTGACCTAGTTTAATTTTTCAGCTGATAGATTTGGGTAGTCTACCCTAAAGAGTATAAGAGAGAGGGGAAGGCTCCCATTAGTGGTAATGTTAAAACGCGTACACAAGTTTCAACGCCTCTAGTGATTGTATCCAGTCATGAAAACGGAAAACGCGCGGGACGTTCAATTTAAAGTTTGAAAAAAGTTTTAATTTTTTTAATAAAATATAAATATAGTGCTGTTATTCGTTACAAGCTACTGTAGTATTTTCAGTGTGACGCATTACTTTAAACTGCCATTACAGAACTTTAGTACTTGGAGACAAATAATAGGTAGCATTTGTAACAGTATAGGCAATCTTCCCCTCTATCTTATACTCTTTGATCTACCTTTTGTACTGTGGATTGCTGGAATGATTTCCTATTCACATTCCTATGTGTTTGACATTTGCATGATAATAATTCATCCATTATAATGTAGATGGCGTTAAAAGTATAGGCCAGGAAATTTAAACTGTTTTTCAAATCTTAACTGTAGTTTGTCGGTTCCTCGCAGTTTTTAAATACGGCGGAGATGATTGACCATAGTAGATTCATTACCTCCTCGCATTCCTGCGTGTTACACGTTTTCCTGATTATAATTCATTTATTCTGGTACATAGATGCCGCAAAAAGTATAGCTCGGGAAAATTAGGTTATATTCCTTCAAATCTTGCTGGGTTTGTTGGGTGATCATAGTTTTTGAAGACTAAACCCAGTTGCATATTGGAATACTTACCTCTTCACATGCTTGCCTGTGTAACATTTACCCGATGATAATTCAACAATTATAACGTAGATGGCATCAATAGTGTAGCTAGCGAAAATTAAACCGTATTTCCTTAAAGCTTAACGGTATTTTGTCGAGTCATTAAAAGAAATGGTCTTTTTTAAATCATACCTACCAACGGTATAGGAACGATAAAATGTAAATCTATAAAAATAATTTAAATAAGTCAAATTCTCTAAACACTTCACAGACTGATCAGATTACATGGTGATCCAATAGTGTGGTGGATAGGACAGATACTGAAATACCTATTGAGACCTCAACAAAAAACCGCCGCCATGATTGAGGAAACAATGACAAAAATGGGATTCCAAAAGCCCATTGTTGGGTAAATGAAAAAAAAAAAAAAACCAACCCCTGCAAAAGGAAACATTTTTTTTACTTGTAGCGTCCACATTCGACGCACCGATAAGGTCGGCACCGAAGCAGCCTTCCACAAATTGGAGGAGTACATGGTCGAAGTTGACGAGTATTTTAATCAGTTACAAATACAACAACCAATTGATAAGAGGCGTGTTTATTTAGCCTCTGATGATCCCAAAGTGCTTAACGAAGCTAGACTCAAATATCCACATTATGATATTATAGGAGATCCACAAATATCTAAGACTGCCTCTATATCGTCCAGATACTCAGATGTGTCACTGTCTGGCATAATACTAGACATTCATATGCTGTCGATGACTGATTATCTGGTGTGTACATTCTCATCACAGGTGTGCCGTGTTGCATATGAAATTATGCAAACCTATCATCCTGATGCTTCTGGAAGGTTTAGGTCTTTAGATGACATTTATTACTATGGAGGTCAGAATCCTCATAATGTTGTAGCTGTTCTATCTCATGAACCTCAAAAGCATGGAGAAATGATCGTCAATAAAGGTGATATCATAGGTAAGTCTTATTAGATCATTGTTAATTATTATTGTTAAAATGAACTAAGTTAAGTTTAACTGACTACTAATCACATGGATTTATTTTACAATTAAAGTAAAGTTCTTTTATACCAACTATGTGCTTGGTTACTGCACAGGTGTAGCAGGAAACCATTGGAACGGTTACAGCAAAGGAAGGAATCTTCGAACAAACCAGATCGGTTTGTATCCCAGTTTCAAAACAAAAGATAAAATTGAGACTGCAAAATTTCCGACGTATTCGGAATTCGTCAGTCAAAGTCATAAAAATATCGATCAAAAATGATGGTTCTAGTCGATGAAAACAGGTTCCAGATGCCAATCAACATAATTTGTTGTTTATTAGACTACTTGCTATATGTTAATGGTGTTTTTATCCTTCAGAAGTGGGATAAGTTTAAAATGCATGTAGCTCAGTAAATGTAAAAAGGGCAAATAATTTGGTGTAATTTGATTTCGACATTCCTTAACTTATTGTAAAGCTTCACTTACAAAACAACACTAAGAGTGATATCTTTTTGACCTAAATTTTACATTTGCGATAAAGTAAATTAAGGAATGGTGAAGTATAATACATATGTTATATATTTTTATTCCATTCTAATTTAAAGGTACATTTTTTTTCTTTGTGTAGTGGCATCCCCTGACAATAAAAAAATTATTTTTTACTCTTCTTTTTAATGTCATTCGCAATATTTTAAAATGTGATAAAGATTCAGTTGCAATTGTTATTAATTGGATCGAAGTAGTGTTAGTATTCTAATTTAGGTGCACACCCTTTTATTTATTTTATGAATATATCTTCAAACAAGAATCTTTTTTGATCTCTTTCAATATTTACGGAAACCAGTAGTTCGCAATATTTTGTTATTTACGAAGTAATCAACATCCAAAGATGGATCCAATCAAACCTTGTTTTTATTTTATTATTATTTTATTTATTCAAGTATTTACCTACTTTCTAGAGGGCGTAAAAGAAATAAAACGCTATAAAACTCAAATGGTTTCTATTTTTTAGGGAAAGTTTTAGACCTACATTGTTTTACGAAGGCGATAACATATGTATTCATAGTAGCAATCACGATTTTAAAACAACCGAGTATATATATTATTATACTATATTATTTATAATAAGAGAGTTAATTATGTTAAAAAAGTTGAGAATTTTAATTTCTGAATGAGCTAGTCAATAAGCTCTGTCATAATTGAAAATAGGTTGCTGTATTGTTTTCGGGAATTGCAAGTGGCCAAGGGTTTAAACTTATTTGTCGGTACCATAAATGAAAAGTAAGCCACAAACTATTTTCTGCTTTATTAATTAAAATGGCCTTTTCTAATGCGGACATGTGTGGAAAGCTTTCGAAGAAAAACCTCAAACCATTAGAAGAATACACTCAATATTATATATATATTCAAATTTTAAAGGTGTTTTAAGTTGAATCAATCAACTTGAATATCAAACTGTATGACCTATAGATCCATACCGGGCGTTATTAGGTAGTCTGTTATTTTGTCTTCGGATTAGTTCGAAGAAACGCCATATACCAAAAAAGAAAGATTTTTAACGAAACAAACAAATGTAAGGTTTCGTAAAATGAATTGAGACTCAGAGGTAATTTTTGGCTACTTTCACATTTTTTCTAAGTGATTTTCGTACGATATCTCTTAATCTTCTGCAATTCTGCATTTTTCTACGCTGTGTTCACGAAGGGTAGGATTAACATAATATACAAGGTGATAATTTCTTTGGAAGTAAATAAATCATTTATACCGAAGTGTTTTATTTTACTTAGCTTGCGTGTGGAATAATAAATTAATTGAATGGGAACCGCTTTTATCCCTCCCCTCCAATTTGTGAAATATATTTTACCGCCAAAAAAGTGAGGCGGCAAAGTAATATTTAAATTGTGAAAACGGCGAATTATCACAATAAAAATATATAATATTATACACGTAACTTTTGTAGCTGTGTTAACCGTACGGCTGCAAACAGATAGTTAAAATATACATAGCGACCATAGCTTTGCGGGAAGCAAATGAGAATGAATATTGTTCATTTCATTTATTTAAATCTTGTGTGGCATTTCGATTCTATGCGTGCCATACCTGCTTTAAATGTTTTCGTGCACTCTTACATTCATATGTGATCTAACCCACTTTAACTTTTAACAATAACATAAAGAAACTAATTTATGATCACTCTATTAGTCAAAGATAATTTTTATGTATTCATGTTAATGAATTGATATATTCAGTATGTATCATAATATGTTAAGATATAAGTAGCTATGAAATTAGGGACTGGGCTTTGACCTTTTTTAAAATTGTTTCCCAGTACCTTTTTTTGCGCTGTGCTTTTGGTTTACTGGTAATAGATAAATGTAAAGTGCAAAAATAAACATATTATTATTATTTAACGTTTGTGAAAAAAACGTCAAATACAAAAGTTGTTCAAAACTAACTGAAACTATATGCAAGTAATTTTTTTAAATATATGGGGTGTTGCAAAAATCACCCACAGATAAAAGTTATATATTTTTTAATGGCACACCCTGTATATTAATACGCTAAATAAAATCCGCTAAAAATTCTACACATTTCTTGTATAACATGTACTATACCCAAATTCAATAGTTTTTGAGGTATATGCGCTTTGAATATGAAAGCAACATTCAAAAATAAAATAATATTCTAGAACCAAAAAACAAAAGTTTATAACTGACAGTGACAGTTACCAGTTACAGATTTAGCAAAACATATTCGTTCAAGATAAAGAAAACCTTAGGCCTACCACAAAATTAACGACCAGGCATCGAAAGAAAGGGTTGAGTTTTGCCATGAAATGATGCTTATTTCAAAAATGTTTTAACCAGTGGTATTATAAATCAAAAAACAGGAGACAGTGGGTTACAATAAATCCTCGAATGCCAAACTGTCAGTGTGTAGTGTGCTCTTTTAAACAGGATAATAGAAGAAACAAAGAAATGAGGACTGATTTCATCGACGTTACTTTAAACCAGAACCATATGGATGAGCTCCTATTGGAACATCTAACGAACCATGTCTTTCAAGAAGACGGCGCTCCCACTTATTGTGTAGTATTTGTTAAAGACTATTTAAATCAAAGGTTTAATGAATGGATTGTAAAAGATGGAACAATGAAATGGCCAAATGGATGCAATTTTATGGGTATGGGATGGTGTAAAGGCAAATACCATCGAAAACAGAGCGCATCTTAAAAAACCTGATTAGAACAGAAGTTCAAATTCTAAACGAAGAATATTCTCAATCTATCACCGTCGCTTTAGAAAGATTAGAGAACATACATCAGATATATTGAAAAAAATTAGGGACCAGTTGAACAATTTTCCATTTGTAATAATTTAGATTGGTATAATATAAGTTCTAGATTATTTTTTCATGTTGAATTGAGGTATATTATATAGGTATTAGGATATAATATTATACGAAATGTTCTTTTCTTTCTGGCTAGGTTCTATGCTGTTGAAATTTTTCATAGATTCGTTGAAAGTTTTTTGGTAAAAAAAAACGTATGGGGGTTAATTACACATAGTTTTGTTTTTTGATGATGACCTACTTCCCAGCCACCTAAGATATCAATTATAAATTCTTGAATGTTATTATTTTATTTTTGAACGTTGCGTTTATGTTCATTAAAAAATAACTTTTATCTGTGCGTGATTTCTACAACACCCTGTATATATAAAAATATATCTTGCAAATAGCTTCCTATTTTTGAACAATTTTGGTATTGGACGTTTTTTCCTAAACGTTAAATACAAAATTTGTAAATGATCACCCGCTACATACTCACACACAATACGAAATTCTTACGCTGATTTGAAATACTTAATGTCAATTAGCACCAAAGCTTGTGTGTTTATTAGCTATTTACAGGAAAAAGTATTAAATTGAGCACCTAGAAAAATTTTAACTCTTATATTTATCAAAAACTATGTACTGGCTTTGTCTGCTAGCTAAGGCGAGATCAATTTTGCCCGACTGTCCGACACTTGCTCCAGCTTACGATACCTAAATGCGATTAAAACCTTGCAAAACAACAAGCCCGCCACCAAACCTAGGAAAAAACTGGTCAGCACCGCCCCCAGCAGCACCACAAAGTAGTCGTCTTGTGGTCGGAAGTGTATTAAGAAACTATCAGAACAGTTTTTAGAGGATTCTTCAGAAGACATATCATCTAAATATTGATCTTCGTATACCGTGTCTTCTTGGGCACGTATTTTTGTCAACGCTTTCCGATCCTCGTCCACCATGGCTCTGATTTCTTTATAGTTACTGAGGTCTCTGTCCACCACGTTGTCCCTGCACTTGTCGGGGATATCATTCCCGAATATATCGTCGAAAACTCCTCCGTTCGAGCACTGATACGGTTCCGACACGTCGACGAAATTCTTGCTGGCCAGCAGCTTGAACGCGCGCCAATTCTCACAGCTGCACTCCCACGAATTATACGACAGCTTCATGAAAAACGAGTTGGGCTCGAACGTCTTGAATGCGTCGAACGTGATACTCTTCAGATTGTTCTGTTGGAGCAAAAGGAGCTTCAAGTTCGGTAGGTGGGTCAGAGAGTCGTCGGGAACGTTGACGATCTTCGCGTTTGCCACAGCCAGAACCTCCAAGCTTTTCGATCGGATCTTCGGCATGTCGCCGCTAAAGTAATTTCCAGACAGGTCGAGCAGTACCATGCTTTCCAGCGGCTCTATTATAAACTCACTCACGTCGTTGAGCAGGTTCTGGCCTAAGTATAACTCTTGCAGGCTTTCTAATTCTGTGAACGCGTAGCTTTCGATGCCAACGATCTCGGAATTGTTTAGGTAGATTTCTTTCACGTCGGCGTTCTTGTCGAAACTGAAGTGGTCGGCGTCGATGTAGGCCAGGTTGTTTCCCGAAAGGTCGACGATCAAAGGACTCCAGTCCAATTGATTTAAATCCGGAACGAAATCAAGCCGTTTGTCGATGCACAGTAGGGACGTGTCCGTGCAATTACAGGACGTCGGACATGAAGCGTGCGTCGCGGAGATCCACACCATCACCAAGAATAACCTCATCGCGAACCAGAGTCGAACGACAGACTAACGGTCTGTCTCCCGATTGCGCAAATATTGACTAAATATTTAACAGGAGTCTTTTAAACCGTTTACTCGTTCAAATGATCCTTGGCAGTCGATAAGAAAACGATATCGCGCCTTACCTTATTATTTGGGCTCGCACAGACTCGTGGTAATCAGATACTCCGGTTAATCTTATCAAATAAAATATTTTATCAATAGTGTTTACCTTTCGGATTTGTTTATTGGCAACTTGAGCCCTCTCTTATCTTGCTATATTTTTGTGTGGAGTTGCGAGCGAGCGATTCTTGCAGTTCATATATCAAGTCGAAAATGCTATGCTCTACATGTAGTTAACCTTCATTGAAGATTGTTCTTGAAAATGGCTAGCCTTTCTGAATTTCGATTATTAGTAAAATTGCGCTTTCTAAAAATGAGAAAATTATTACTCTCAATGCTCTTCGCCACCAAAACTCAATATTCAAAGTTGTCAATATTAAATATATGTTGAATATAATTGGAGTTTACAGTCAACAATGTACCAACTTATGTACGAAGGTATAAACATGGCCGCATCAGATCACCAAAAAGAAGTACAAGAAGAGAATAAACTTTAAAAAAAGAGTTATCAGATCAGAAGAATCATACTTACTTATATTTATAAAAAGAAATACCTATCTACCTCTCTCTGCTCAGTTCCTCAGTCATGAGGGTCGTCACCTTTTTGGAATGCCTTTATTCAACCTTTATAGTGTCTCCTTCCACATTTCTCCGCCTGGTGAAACGATATGTGAAGGGATTGTGACTTGTTTGATTTTGTCAGACTATCTCATACTCTCTATCTCTACTTCATCATCACTATAAGCCTTTCTATACTGTCATCTCGTCTTCTAGCTACGTGTCCAAAAGATTGCAACACTGGTGGTTACTGGTTACTGATTAGTTCTCGTCGCGGTCCAGGGAATTCTAAGCAATCTCCAGTAGTACCACGTTACAATGATGTCATTATATTTGCGTTCTTTGGCACTAACCGTCCACGATTCTGAGCGGCATGAGAAGATTGGAAAGACCAGATTAATTTTAGTATTTTTGGTTATATATGAGTTTTTCCATTTTTTGCTAAGTCTCAGAATCGCACTTTTGGTCTTGGTTATTCTTCCACCATTTACCCACGTTGTTATTATTATTTCAAGAGTCCTGTTTATGATATTAGGCTTATCCACTGTCACTTTTTTTTTGTTCGATTTCATTCCACCCATGGGTGGTCCTTATTATTTCTCTGGAATCCAACGATTTTGGTTCATCTGACAACTAGGAACAAATTAAGTTGTATTGTAAATGGTAGATTCTTTTAAATAATAATATTTATTATAATTTAGGTATTTTTATATTAATCTTACTTCTATATAAGTTTTTTTTACTTGATCTTAGTTATAATCATGTTCAATTATTATTCTAATAAACTTCTAGTAAAGCACCTGTCAAATTGTTCTATTGTGTGCAAATTAGTACGACCCTAAAAACTCCCATTTATTGCTGTTTAAAGACCTCTATCAATGCAAATTTACATTTAGTACTCTTGCTTGCTATAGATAGATTCCATTAGAGTAAATTGCGAAAAAACTGAAGAGAAGAAAGTCGCAGACATTAACTTCATACTTTTAAGTGCAAGTCAATTATATTTCAGGAAAAGGACGCCCTGTTTTGTTTTGTGGAAAAGCTGCAAAGTGTGAAAAATCGTTCTATTTTTCTCTGGATTTCAAATCTATTTTTATATTCTTTGCGTTCTCGATATAGCTGACAATGTGTCAATGTCAATGTGAAATTTGAAAAGATGAAACCGTTGTCAAATGTGGCAGAACTACCTTATGGAAGTGTTTTCGATTTTAAAAAATTGACAAAAGACAAGTTTTAATGGAATCTTTTAGAATTCGGAAATGGCGACTGGAATATCTAGAAAAAATTAGGATTTCCAGAGAACAACAAAGGCCAATTATTTACTTGGATGAAACCTGGTTCGACACTTATGATACTCCGGAAAAGTGTTGGGTTGACTCAACTGATAAGGGTAAAACAAACGCGCCATCAAAAAGAGGTAAAAGAATAACTATTTTGCATGCTGGCTCTAAAGATGGTTGGATTCCAAATGGACTTTCTCTGTCTGCGAAAAAGATTAAACATTCTTCTCTGGATTACCATGAAGACACCACCGCTGATTTATTTGAAAGTTGGTTTAAAAACAAACTGGTTTCAAACATTCCTCCTAATATCGTAATTGTAATGGACAATGCAAGTTATCACAGTAGACAGTTGACTAAAACCCCTTCCTTATATGACACAAAAGCAATAATCCAAAACTACATGTATAATAACAACATTTATTTTCACGAAGATTATACCAAAAAGCAATTAATTGAGGTTCTACAAAGCTTGAACCTACAAAAGGAATACGTCTGTGATAACTCTGCAATAAATCTAGGGCATACAGTTTTAAGGCTTCCACCTTACCACTGTGAAACAAAACCCAAATAATTAAATTCTAAGCAAAGTACTGACCTGCTCGGCCATATTTCATTCTTACAGCTTGCCCGCGTCTTTTCTTAACTCGTATCAGTTAGTCACTTTCTTATATCTATGAACTGACCATACAAGTCAATCCCTAAAAAAAATTGCTTTAACTATTTTCCGAATTTCTCGGCATTTTTTCACTAATCCGCAACTTACCGGTTTGGAAATTTTCACCAATATGCATCATTTCGGACGCACTGTATACAAAGGTAACAGCTTACTTATTACTAGTGTATTACTATTACAACGAACAGGTTTTCCCAAGTAGTCTTTTATTACGGAGTTCAAATTACACTCTAAAATTGGTCGCCTTTGACGAAGGCTTGCCTCCCTATCTTTAAAATTGAAGTAAAGCAAAGCTTTAGATAAAATAAATACGATAATACGATTATATTCGCAAAAATATGATAATCCGTTGCAAAGGCGCCGTCGCGTTCAATTACGTCGATTTGTCAGGTGTTTTATACATCCAATCACGGAGTAATGGATACCCGGTAGTGATTTAAAGTGATTAATACAACATATAACGAAATTGCCGCAATTTGTAAAAACAGTTATTCATATAGCGTCATGTAAGTAGGATTTGGTTCAAATTATAAATTTGGAGTAAAGAGGACAAAATTGTTTTTAAAATACTAAACTAAACAACTACTTAGTAAAAAACTGCGTTTTTAATTTTCCATTTTGGGAAATGAGTAAATAATGCGCAATATGAGTAACAAACATTTTTTTCCTTATTTGTAAACACACATTGTTGTTTAACAGCAATAAACCTTTGTTTGGTATGGGTAAATATTCTAAATGTAGCAAATTTAACATTTTATTAGTTGACCATGACTACTTAATCACTTGGAAGATATTTTATCAAACTAACCAAAACTATGCAAAGCAGTCTTCAAAAACTTCGTGGTTATCTCCGTCATTAAAGGAATAATGAGGGATAGAAGTAGACGAACCTAGGAAAAGTGAAGCCAAGCCAGAGGCGTCGTACAATCTATTTCCAGTAATATAGGGAACTTGCTCAAAAAAAAATCGTTTAAAAACAATTAAAACCGTAAGTTCAGTTAATGCTCATAAACGAATGTAGTATTTAGTTTTATGTTAGGAGAAAATTTTGTTTAAATTTGCTCGATTTGGTGTTTGGTGGTTCTATGAAAGGCTGCAAATGATTGATGCGGATTTTATAAAAGGACAATCAGACAATTTACCTAAAGTTGATATATTTATCACTGCACCATACATTAAAAAATCGAAGGATTTTTCCGAAGCTAAAGTTCGTAGTGTAAAAGATAGGAAGTAAGTGTTGTAGAATTTATTTAGAGTCCGAACAAATAGAAAGGTAAAACTAAGTTATTTATTTATAAAAGTAAAATATTAGAATAGCGATAATCGATATCGAAATAAGGGTCCCACTACTGGCTTGGGCCTGATGAAAACGATAAGTATAATTATTAATATGTACCGCCATTCTTAAGGTGAGTTTATAGGTGCAGAGATTTAATTTAACATTTAATTTAATTTTAAAAGTTCGATAATTGAAATTTGACGGTGGCGTTTATTCAAAAATTTAATTTAAGATTTAACGAACTTCTTAATGACTAATGACCAACTTTTAACTTTGTGGTTAAATTTAATTTAACTTCACGTTACCAGTTTTATCAACATTAATTATTAAAATATTAGTGTTATTTTATTATTATTTTATGCAAATATTTTAGAAGCATTACTCTCGCTTGTCCCAAAGTTTTATAAGCAAACAAATGTACAATGTACAATGTTTTGCTTTTACTATATGCATTGAATCTATTTTATAGTATTTTTCAAGCAAATCGAGCATCGTCAGGTAATCCCAGATATAACCAGGCCTATTTTGCAACTTCATTAGTGTAGAAAGTAAACATATATCTTTAAATCTATTTTTCTTTTCATCAGAAAATTATTCACTCACTTCACTGTGACTACTACTACGAGCTTCACTAAGTGTTAACAGAAAGTGACTGTCACCATCATTTTCATTGAAATGATTTTCACTACTTTTTACATTTAAAGGCACTGTCGTACGTATTTTTTAGAAGATTGGTTTCTTGTTTATTCGTGATATCTTCGGTATACCATTTAAGTAGAGACAAGCTAACCTTAACTCTCAAATTTAATTTACATGCTTTCCTTCTAAACGTTACAAGCCTGTGCGCTTGTATGAAAACATCGTTTTTTAACGAAACACTTGTTTATGACAAAGTAGCATCACCATGTCCATGTCCCTTATTGGTTAGGTCGCTTTGAGGACTGGCACTAGTTTGATAATGTTGTAGTAGAACAGGAAGCTACTGCTTTATCAACAATATGTTCTTTTTCTGTCTGGATGGTAATTAAAAATGTGAGGAATTACATAAGGTAACATTATTTTTTTACCACCCATTAGTTTAAACTTCCGCAATCTGAAACAATAAAATAACATAGATAATCAATATTTATTAAGTATTAATAATGGTTACCTAACTAATACTTTTACTAGATAATTAGTTACCTATATCTAAATAAAATTAGTATCTAGATATTTTATATTTAGGTAAGTATGCATGTAATAGAAGATGTGTTGTAGGCTTTACTGGCAAAGTTTACCTAACCCTAATTATTTATATTTAGGTATATAGACTTACATTGAAATGTTCTTCACAAACGTGAATGGTTGTACTCTTCGTAGAATAATCCCCTACACTGCTTGCTTTTAGCCACTTTATTAGTCGCTTTTTATCTTCAGGTACCCGAATGAAAATTTTATCTGGATTTTTCATAATGGTACAAAAAGGAACAATAAATTAAACACTTAAAAACCGAGACTAACAATGCAAATTTGGTAAGAAATCAATGAAAAATGCTTGAAAAATATAAAGAAATGGGCAAGTTTATTTACTGTGGGTTTCGCTGCGCTAAAGGTTTATTTATGTTGCATCGTATTTTTTATTCCAATTCTTGTGGTGTACTTATAGCGTCCAAGAAAACTGGGTATATCCTTAACCATACGAACTTTATGATGGAGATCAGTTACCAGGTATTACCAAATTTTCCAGAGAAGTCAGTATAACTACGCAACGCAATATAACTACTGCAAATCTAAAAGCAGATAGTATGTAATGGTTAGGTACATGAAAAACATTTACCTTTTGACCAGATACGAACAGAACCCCAACTTTACAAAATAATATAGGATAACAAGTATAAATTTCCGCCATTCTACAAATCAGATAGCCTATTAGAGGAAAATGGTCACAAAGTCTTTCGGTTACCGCCATGTCATCCCGACTTAAATCCTATAGAGAAAAGTCAAACGAAAATTGGTCAGATCAACCTTTGTCAACATCAGAATCGGATTAAAAATTTAAACTGAACTCGATTTCGATGTACTAAAGTTTACTTATAAAGTTTAAATTGGAATTGGAATAAAATTGATAATTGTAGAAGTAAGATTTTGTGATAGCTTTTTTTCACCTTTTTGGCGGATACTATTTATAAGTAAAGTATATCTATACCCTACTGAAGTTTAAATAAAAATTCCTGTTATGAGATCAATTTATAGTTGCGGTTCAGAATATTTTTATTATTACGCCAAATGTCCCCTATTATTATTATTCTCTTGAAAACAGCTAAAAATAAATTGCTGCATAACTCGTCTTACACATATTATTCCAAAAACAAATATTCGGATGAAATTTGTGAATATTTGCAATAAACAGAAATAAGTACCAAGAAATGAATAAAACACCTTCACCCGCCACTGGCGCGAGTTGCATCCCCAATTTTTAAGCTGTGTGACAACGGCCGTAAGCAAATGCTCGAGCATCGAATTGCACCTGGCTGTATCTTTTCTAGGTTAGTTCTAGTCTAATATATCAGGTAAGTATATTAGTATGTTAGTAGAATTCCTTTTCTCGGCATGGTCTATAGTCTCAATCTTCATGGACCACCGATCGCCAATTTAAAATTTGAAAATTAACTTGCCAGTCCGCATCCGAACTCTTCTTCAAATTTGACACTTTTATTATCAAGGCCATATCCTATACAAGTCCTGGCGCAAGGACCAAAGGTCTACCTACAAACAACGCAATTTAGTCAGTACGATTATCTAAAATTGTCGTTAAAAATCATTATTATTAAATAGGAGCATTAAAATTTTTAAGATGATAAAATCTATATGAGTTTTTAATTTTTGCAAAACAATAAAAAAGTCATGTTTTCGAATTTATCGTTTAACTTATTCCATTGGTTGAGGTACATTCTCTGAAAAACGTTCGGAATCTGGTGAGCGATTATTAAACAGAAAATATACAGGGTGGGTAAAAAAGTAATGTCGATACCAAGTTCCTTTTTTTTAAATGGAACACCATTTCATGTAGCATACCCTATACCTACATATCTCTTACTTTCTACGAGCAAAACAGTAAAAAGTAAACCAGTAGAATTACATTTCTGTCAGTAAAGAAAGTTAGGATGGCGCATCAAAATGAAACCCAGAGAATTGAAATTTTAATTATTATTGGATATGGAACTCAAGAAAAAGTTTGTAATTTGATTAACGCAAAATATTCACAGAGCCCATTACAAGTGAATAAAATTGAGAGAAAATTCATAGGAATAGGGCATGCAAAAAATGGTCTACAGCCAGGTCGTCCAAAAACTAATGAGAACACTAGATTAAACATTTTATTAAAAGTTGAGGATAATCGTCCCCGTGCATCTTTTGATTAGTTAGCCAAGCTTGACGTGTATTAAAAGAAGTATCATCCGTACAGGAGCTGAGCGAAGATAATCCCGACAGCAGACTCCAGTCTTGTGAAACTACGATGGAAATGTGTACTGTTTAGCGATGAAGAAACGTTTTGTTTAAACGGTATGTTAAATAAACAAAATTGTAAGTATTGGAGAACCAATAATTTTCGATGGATGGATGGGTGGACGGGACAAAATTATTGGACCTTAGTTGTTAGATCAAAATTTTATTATGCCAGATAGACAGATTTGGTTTCACATGTATGGTGTTTCGTCCCATTTTGCTCGACGAGTGCGCGAATATTTAAATACGGTATTTCTCGGTCAGTGCAGCATTGAGGTATTACTCTACTGGATTTTTCCTCTGGGTAAAATCAAAAGTGTACAAGAAGAAAACACAATTTAAAATTAGATACAAAATGCGACTAATTAATTAAAATATCCTGAGTAATGTTTGAAACGGTTCTTAAATCGATTAGCATATTGTCAAGAAGTTATTGGTGAGCAGTTTTAACACCGAATAAAATTATTTCTGTGACTTGCCCTCTGTTTCTATACATTTTC